AGGCTCAGCCTGGGAGAATTGTAAACAGACAAACATTATTTTATTCCATTGTGACTCTGATTAAAGAGAAATAATTAATCACAGTGTTTTAGTGGCCCAGAGACAAGAGGTGCACTGATCTAGGAAGAGACTGACACAATTGTGTCGATAATCAGAAATGGCTACATAGTGGCTTGTATACTAGGAGATAAATACTTTTTTTGTGGCTTTCTTGGGCACTTTTTCATGCTATAGAGATTGGGGGGCATTTACACAACACCAATTCAACAAAAAAAAACAAAAAAACTTTGTTTCCGTTTTGGCCATTTACAATAGCATTTTGGGGGACTGAAAACGCAAACTTTTTGAAATTGATACCGTCTTTGATTTATGTCATGCGCATGCATATTACATTTCCAGTCTATGTGTAGGCTAGTGTTTCTTTACAAAGTAGCATAGCTGGTCTGGCAGGCATAATACAGCGTTTTTAGTCGTTTTTGTGGATCCTTGTGAACAGGGATACGTGAAACTTCAAAAACACAAGGAAAAACCTTTCCATTTTTAATACAACGTTATTGTGTGAACAAATTCATTCTAAATTTCATATTATTCAGCAGTGTTTTACTTTCATTCAACCCAAATAAAAATCAGTTTGTGCCTTTATAATATCCTGACAACCATAAAAGCACAAGTGGTAAAGAGATTAATCAAAGTTTCCCCCGAAAATGTGTTTTTTTTTTTATTGTAAATTATGATGACTTGTTTTTATCACTTGGGAAAAATCTGTACATTTAACAGAACGTCTGGTTAGATCTTTTAAAGAGTTAGTATTAACCAATTACAGATTTAATTGTAGCATATAGCCTACGGAGTAATTACAATCTTTTTTTTTTTTTTTTTTACAGTGTTTAGCAGTTCATTTTTACAACCACCGTTAACACATCACAACCTTGGACTATTTTTAAAGTTATGAGCTGTTATGGGGTTATACAGTATTTTAATTTGTATTTTATAGATCCAAAACACAAACAAGGATACAACATTTTTTTTTTCAATAAGTTCGAATGAGAGTAAGTGAATAAACAGTGGACAGGTTACCTAACACTGAATAGCTACTTCATTCTGCAGTCTTGGCACGTAAAACCTTTTCTGAGAGCACTTATCTCACTATTCCTCAAAGGTACAGAGATCAAATCCCTACGTCCTTCACACCTGCATCTCTTTTCTTTTTTAGTCAATACGAAATAGCACTCACTCTTGAGAAAAGCTTTAAAAGTTACAATTTTCAAAAAGAGCAATCCAGAAGAAAGACCAAAATAAAAGTGTAAAACAAACTCGCATACTCGTTTTTCCACTTTCTCTGAGAAAAACAAAAAATCAATAGAAGACAATGGAAATAAAAATGTCAATAAATTATATTTTTGTAATGCCTGTGAAGCTTAGAAATGAAAGCCAAAGAGAGCTAATGAAATCTAAAGGGTTTGAAGAAATTAACTTTAATGCTATATTAAAATTTTATATAAAAATTATTTTATAAATAAAATTTATTTATCGCAAACTGGCGATTCTTTTTGGAACAAGTAGCGATTCTTTTTGAAAAAGTAGCGAATCTTCTGGAAAAAGTAGCGATTCTTTTCGAAAAAAGTAGTTATTCTTTTCGAAAAAAAGGATCGATTCTTATTGAAAAAAGTAGCAATTCTTTTTGAAAAAGTCTAGATTATTTTTGGAAAAGTATCAAATCTTTTTGGAAATGTATCGATTCTTTTTGGAAAAAGTAGCGATTCTTTTTGAAAGATGTAGCGATTCTATTTGAAATAAGTATAGATTCTTTTTGGGAAAAGTATCGATTATTTTGGGGAACGTGTCGATTATTTTGGAGGGAAGTATCGATTATTTATATGCGCTTTTTAAAAGTAGTGATTCTTTTTTTAAAGTAGCGTTTCTTTTTTTATAGCGATTTTTTAAAGTAGCCATTCTTTTTTTAAAGTGGTTATTCCTTTTTGAAAAAGTAGAGTAAAAAAGTATTTATACATTTGTTACAGTCTTATTAGAGATTTATTACAATGTAATTATACATTATAATTTTTTACAATTATAAAAAATAACTGCTCTGTATCGGCCCCTTGCAGCGTTGCATCCCAGACACTCAAGTAATTTTAGTCATTGTTGTTGATACTGTATCTATTCATGATCTATCTATCCATTCATATTTAGAGTGCATGAACATATTTTTAATTGAAGTTTATGAAACGTTATAAAATCCCATTTCATCCAGACGACCCTTTTCCTTTCCACCACAGCTGCCAAGCATCTCCCTCTGCGAGTGTGACACACTCCCATGGAATGTATTCAAATATTTTGACATTTTGCCTTTCCTTACTTCCAGAGCAGAAATGATTTGTGACAGATGGAGAAGGGCTCTGTCTGATGAGCTCCTCCAACACCACGGGCACCTCTCTCCTCCTCAGTGTGCTCTCTCCTCCGTTCATTCCTTCTCTGTCTCTCCCTCTCGCCTGTCATGTGTGGTGGCCTGTCTCTTTCCACAGCTGCCCCAGGTGCATCCTCCCTCAGTGATAAACACACAAAAGGGAGACTCCATCAAAAAGTTGAGACAAGAACATGTTGCTGTTACCTCGAGCCGTTCTGGTCTGATGGTCCGAGAACACTTACACTGCCAGTGCCAATGGCTTGTGACGGAGGCAGCCTGAACACAAAGCTAAAGGATGTAACGTTCGACAGCGGTTTCCACAGAAGTGTTACCTGTCTTACTAAGTGTCCAATTACTATCAGTAAAGTAAACTGTTTAAAAAGACGAACAAATACCACAATGACATGTCTACATGACAGTTGGCACCGTTTTGTGCCTAATTTAGCCATGTTATTTAGATGTGTTTTTCACTAGTAAAAATGAAGCATGGAGGAATGGCTTTAATTGTCACAGTCACTGGGCTGCTTGTCTGTACTAATGCAGAGGCAGTGAGAGACGCAGGACATGCGATGTTGACACCAGAGCAGGAGTTTGAATAATGCCTCTCATTAGCCACTGAAGCGGTACTTCTGCCTGTGTCTGTCCCCGGTCATTTTGCGCCAGCGTGATAAAAAAACAAACCCATCGCGCCTGAAAGCTGTCATCAATCAAAAGAGGATGCAGTTTACTGCTATGAAAAGGCATGAATCTCTGTGTTAGTTTCTTAGCCACAAACATCAGAACTGCTCTGTTCCAAAACCTATAATCTGCCTATGTAGACAGCACTTTGAGTCATTATAGACATGAAGTGCCTCCTAAGATGGCTTGTTTTGGCCAAATTATACTGCAGCAATGTACATATCTTTTACAGAAAAGATGGAAAATTAGTCAAAAGAAGAGTTGATAATAAATGATCAATTAAACTACAGTGTAAGAATGGGGAAGAATGGATTCACTTTTAAACTCTAACATATATACATATCATTATATATCATTTGCATGGTGATGATGCATCAGCCAATGTGTGATTATAGGAAAAAAATAGAAACATTTGCTAATGTGTTGTTAGCCAAAAATGTCAAATATTTAAAGAGGTAATTTGGCCCCTTCTGGGGTATGAGAATCATCTTACCCCCTATATATTTTTGGTAACACTCCATAATAAGGTTTTATTTTTTAACATCAGTTCACTACTTTACTATGGAGTACTAACAAGTGTAATAAATGCTGTAAAAATATACTGCTCAAAGTTAGATAATGTTGATAAATAAGGGTCTTATTGTGAAGAGTTATAAAAGTAATAGTTTTATATAATTATAATTTATTAATTTACTCAGTATTTGAGCAAAAAATCAATTTTGCAAACAATTATAGGCTATGTGTATTTAATGTAACAGTATGAAATATTATTACTTTTGAAAATTGTCTGAATACATTTTAAAATGTCATGAATTCCTGGGATGGCAAAGCTGAATTGTCAGCATCATTACTCCTGTCTTCACTGATCCTTCAGAATTCATTCAATATACTTGTTGCTCAAGTAACAAATGCTTCAAAGCATTTATTTGAACCTGAAATCTAGATACTGACCTTTGAATGATAGCGTATAGACAGCTAAACAGGTTTTGGAAGTGTGCTAAAACTCTAAAAAAAAAAAAAAAAAAAAAAAATATATATATATATATATATATATATATATATATATATATATATACAGTATATATGAAGAGTTCAGATGCAAAAGCCTCTAAATGCCATTTGAAATTTTCTTCTTTAATGATCATTTTTATCAAGCTTGTATATTTAAGTTCAGTGATTTCACTTAAATGGCAATGATAATTACCTATTAATTGTTATTTAAGTGAAATTACTGAACTTAAATATACAAGTTCGACAAAAATCATCATTAAAGAAGAAAATTTCAAATGGCATTTAGAGGCTTTTGCATCTGAACTCTTCATATATATATATATATATATTTCTTTTTTTTTTTCAATTTCCTTCCAAAAAAGACTGATAAGACTAGCAAAAACAGAGCGAGGGAATCTTGTAAGGCAGCATCCATCTGTGCTTTGAGCCGTTGATTGAGTGTACGTCTGGACATACATACTCTCAAGAGCCAACGGGGCAAACCAAACCCCAGTTATACACAGCACATCAATCAATAATACACACGCAGTTGAAGACTGAGAGGGAGGCGCAGTCTGAGCACATATGATAACAGGAGATTTCCAGCAAATGAGAACCCGGCAAAGAGCTGTTCATCATCACACAATCTGCAGAATCTCCCTTCTCTGCCATCCCTCAACTCTCTCACAACATTTCCTGTGTGTTTGTTCGCGAGGGCTCAGTGGTTTGAACTGAAGCAGATAGACTGAAAGTTCCACTGACACATTTTGTTTTCATTAGGTGTGGGATGTTTTACCCAGGTTGTGCCATCTTAGATGTGGAGGTTGTTTTGGTGGAAATGCTCCACTATTTGATGCTTTATGTCCAGAGAGAATGGGAAAAACAACTGAATACAGACAATGAGTATACTTGCCAATGAAGGAGATACAAGGTCCAGCACTAAGTTAAATCTGGTTGTAGACTTCATAGACTTCTTCCTCTGACAGACGTCTTCTGGAGTCATTATCACTGTCTGGGGTGACCTAATGCAGCACAGCGCCACAGGATGAGAGAGCTTGTTTACTGAGACAGAATTAGAATAAAGAGCATTAATCACCTTAATGAAGAGCAAATCAAACCATCACAGATGATCCCACGTAACAGAATGTACTGTTTAATTCAAACGGGCAATGTTTCAAAATGACAAATCAGTGAGAGTTGGTCATGTTGATTGATTTCCTCTATGAAACGCTAATAGATTTAGTCCTCACTGGGCAATTGTCACTCATTAACCTTCAAGCGGTTTCATTTGAGAATGTATTGCTGCCATTTTGCAGCACCACACAAAGTCAATTCAGCAGATGATAAATATCCTGACTCTTCAGTGGCAGGGCACATATCAAATGAGCACTTTGGCACTGCAAACCACAGTCTCATGAAGATGCGTATCTATACCACGAGTGTCATTTCTCGTGGCATTTATACGCCAAAAGTGTTTTTTTCGTGTATATGGTACGCACTAAAAAACCCTGGGTTAGGTTTAGGGGGGAGGGGGGTGGGGAGTTCGTGCGTATTATACGCAAAAAAGTGCGTATCAAATGTACGCGAAAATCGCGTGCCAAATACACGCAAAAACTGTTTTTGGCGTATAAATGCCACGAGAAATGACATTCGTGCCATAGACACGAACTTTCATGAGATCGCCCCATAGTAAGTGTGAACATAATAGAAAATATGTGGGATGTCTCACAAGTAGGTTTGGGTCCACTCTTATTTTCTCCGAGTTCACACTAACATACAGGGCTTGACATTAACTTTTTTGCTCACCAGTCACCGTAGCAAGTGGTTTTCCAAAGTTACTAGCCACATTAATATTACTTCATATATCTGTCAGGAGGTACCTGAAACATGAATCCATTATACTGTTACACATGCATTTTTTTTCTCAAATATTTACACTAAAAACATAACTGACTGTGGGTGTTTCTCAAAACCAAGAATGCAAAGAACGTACTAGTGTTCTGAGTATTTGAAGCGTTTCAGATATTTCAGTATTGATATGTATCGAAAAATCTATATTTTTGATAACACTACATTGCACTTAGTTTATTATATCAGATGCCTTTTTAAAAGACTATGCAATTGAAAATGTAGGCTATATATTATAATTGGGCAGGTTGTCGGGTTAATGTCAAGCCTGGCTATATAATCAGATATAATAGCCTATGCGTATTTGGCGTGTTGTCTGAGGAGAGGACTTCAAGCTCGAAATTTGGCCCAAACCCAGAACACTAATCCCCCCATCCCTGGCTAGGTTAGGAATAAACGAGTGTGAGGAGTTGGGGTGGAGGAGGGATGCTGGAAAAACTGTTGTGGAACAGTGGAAAGTCGGATCTATATAAGACTCAACTGGCAATGATTGGGTAGTGGTCTCTTCCTTTGTTTATAAACGATAATTTTTATTTTTATAACCAATTTTGTTATTGAAAATGTTAATATAATTATGAATGCACATGTTCCCTGCAGCATCACAAACATCAGCAAAGATCAGAAAGAATTTAAAGTTTGCATGAAATGAAAATTCCCTGTGTAGATCTCAATTCATCTATGTAAATGATTTTTTAACCTTGTAAAATGTAATCAAAATCGTCATAACATTGTTTGTTTTTTTCGAGAATGTCATGTATGCCATAATACAGAAAAGATCTGTCACTACTTCTGTTTCATTGTGACTTTGGGTTCCCTTGGGTGACCTTGGGTGTTTCATTAAGTGTTGGGTTACAAACTATGATTGAATTGCTAGAGTTAATTAAATTTACAAGTTCTAACAAATAAAAAAGATATTTTGAAAAACAAAATTTGTTTTGGACCCCATTAACTTTCATAATATGGACAAAATATAAAATATTCTTAAACAATATACATATAATATATTTTTTTATATTCTTAAAAAAATACTGTCATCTGTGTTCCACAAAATAAAGAAAGTCATTTTTTTTAGTTTGTGTTCTGTATCAAACTTCACAAGCACCTCATGAGAGAGAGTGATGTTGCCATTGAGACCCGGCCTAAAGGTGAGTTCTAGGGGTTTGATCCAGGGCGAAAGAGCGTAACTGAAGCCGTCTGCACGTTCTCTCACTCAACTGACTGACTGAGCACTCCTGAGCACTCATCTCTGACTCACACCCATATAGTGTCTGTGAGCCAAGAATTCAATTAGTCACTCAAGCCCCAGCGATAGCCCCAGGGGGAGTCAAATCTCCATCATTTAAAAGTATGATTACAAATAAACCAATAACATTTTGACTCTCCGGGAATGGACCAGTAGATTAGAAAATTCAGATTAGATCTAAGTGCCTGTAGATTCTCATTAAAACAGCACAAACTACTGAGAAACAATAGGTAATTAGGAGCCTAATGAAGCACAGCACCGTTAGCACGACTTGACTGTGTGTCTCTCTGCTGGGACCCAGTTTTACTCTACACTTATCCTACAGCAAAGCTTCCAGCCTTTCATTTGGGCAATAAGACATATTTAATTAGATTAATGAACGTTATAAGCTCTCTGAGGAATGGCTTAGTACACAGTGACAATGCAGCAGCTTATATGTGGGGAGGAACACTTGCTGCTTCAGGGCAGACCTTTTCGGTCTCTCAGGACGGAAGTGAGAGAATTGACAGCTACGGTGCAATCTGTCTCTGCGTTCCGCCAAGAATAAAGGGCGATGTACAAATCGTTTATTGCAAACTCGTGTTTGGGAATTACAGGAGAGAGTTAGGAGTCTCGAGACGCGAAAGAGAAGTGGACTGAGGGAGCTGAGACGGCTGATTAAAACAGGTTTTTCTTGAGAGTTCATAAAACCGGAGTCTGTAGTTTGTTTGAGAGCTTATTAGTAGTTATTAGTGCTTGAGGAGAAACAAGAAATTGGATTGTGGAATTATGACAAAAAAAATCTGACTTGAAGTGCAACAAGGGCAGAGATTTACTTTTTACTTATTTACTTTTTTAATGAATGATATATTGTTTCACTTAGTAGGCCTATATGTCACAATCTTGGAAGTAAAATTACTTGCAAATTGCAATTCATATTGACTAAGTAAAAAAAAAGGGTATTCACAAGAGCAGAATACCTCTGAAAATGACACTTATGACACTTAATATAAAGTACTGTTACTGGGTCAGTAAGATGTTTTTTTAATATATATATATATATTAGGGCTGTGCAAAAGTTAATTGCGATTAATCGCATCCAAAATAAAAGTCTGTGTTTACATATATATTTGTGTGTGCTGTATATAATTATTTTGTATATATAAATACACACACATGCATGTATATGTTTAAGAAAATGTGTTATTCCTATATAAAATATTTATATTTATATAATATAGATTATGTATTTCTATATATATACAGAATTTAAGAGCAAATAATTCTTAAATATATGCATGCATGCATAGGTATTTATATATACAAAATAATTATATACAGCACACACAAATATATTATGTAAAACAGACTTTTATTTTGGATGCGATTAATCGCAATTAACTTTTGCACAGCCCTAATATATATATATATGCTATGTGTGTGTGTGTGTGTTTTGTTATTGTTTTTTTTTTCACCAAAATTATTAGCCACAATGATATTATATAGCTCCACTGTTCATAACATGATTTATGAAAACTGGTTTTCAGAAATCATGTTATGAACAGTGGGGCTATGTAAAATATTTACATGGTTTAGTCTACTAAAAATAATGCGTTTAAATTAATTTAAAAATATTTTTATTTATATTAACAGGAATTTATACACTGTGACTGACATACAAAACAGTCACAGCAGCTTTGAATAAAAAAGATGTTATAGTAATGTTATAGTGCCCTCTATAGGTTGTAGTGAGAATGTGTTCTGTGGGTCTTTCTCTGGTGTGTCAGCTATAGCGGCCTATAGGCCCTGGATAGGTCACCACCACCAATAGCAATAAGAAGCAATGCATCTGTAGTCAGGCACAACAGTATCGTAACTGAAACTCAAAAAGAAGATATAAAACTGATGGGGTAAGCTATGTTTTTTCACTGTTTAAGTGAAGCTATTGACTTGTATCCATAAACAGCTGTCCACTTAAGCTCATAAGCACAACACATATTGTGGCACGTCTGCCGTCGTTGCAGCAGGTCGCCGCTTGAGTACCTGCAACTGCGAAATAAATCTTACACTGCGTCGCCTTTGGGAAAACTTTCAGTATCAGTGCCCCCCAAAAAAGGCCCACGCCTAACTGATCCAACTGTTCTGTTTGCGCTCGTGTTTGTAAACAGATGAATAATTGAGCCAAGTTCAAATCCGCCGTGGCAGAGGGGTGAGAGAAGAGGAGGAGGATAGACAGATGGCCTAGAGCAGATAGTCTAAAGCGCGGCGCTCCGAGCGCACACACCACAGAACGCGGGCCGGCATTGTTCCGCCCGCCAGGGCCGTGCTGTCATGCGGCGTACAAGCCATCCCCCCAGAGCCAAGGTCTTAGCGTGTCAGTGTCCCGGGCCCATTGTCTCTGCGTTTTTTAATTTCTGGGACGCAATCGAGTGTGACGCCAAAATGTTTACCTAGCGTGTCTGCCTTAGCCATGAAGTGAGGAAAATAATAAAAGGCAGAGAAAGGGAAAAAAACATGTCCAAGGGTCTCAGCACAAAATAATCCACCGTAATGCTAGAGAGTTTAAAGAGGCTTTGCCAATATCCCTCTGTTTTCAGGCGGGGGGGAAAGAGGAGGGAGAGATAAAGAGCCAGGAGAAACCATCAGGAGAGAGAGAGAGAGAAAGCTGCTAAAAAACCCTCAGCCTCAATGGGATTGCTAATGATTGTTTTTAGAGAACAACAATTGTGGTATTAGGGCATAAGCAGCTGAAGATAACATCCAGGGGAAGAGAAACAGCAGCTTGGGGAAGGAGATAATGAGGGAAAAGTAAAGGATTCTGGGATGGGTCCCCGCTCTGTTGCTCCGATGCCCCTCTCAGTCATGGGGTATCAAAGTGGCTCGCCCTTTCTCTTTCTCTCTTTTGAAAAAGTACCTGCTCTAATCCACCAGGATGACGGGGGTTGAAGACGTCCTTGCAGAGCAGATCTTGAAAAGCTGTAGGTCAGAGGACAGGCACCCTTGGAAGCATCAAAAGTGAGCGTGGCTTCTCTGTCCGCGTCTATTTGTGAGACAAATGGTCAGACATATGTGGGTCTTTGCAAAGAATATAATCAAGGACATGGCACTTTCGCATTCGATTCCAAACAGGAGCTTACCGCGAGCTTATCGTTTCTGGCTCTGTCCGAGGACGCTTTGAGAAGCGACGTGTGTGGAAAGACCAGCCCACACACATTCAAACTCCCTCTGGCTCTTGTCCAGCGGGCGAGGGGACTCGTCCAAAACAAACTGGATGCCAAAGAGCAAACAAAGGCTTAATTGGTGAAGAAAACAGCGCCACCTGTTGGCGTTTTAGCCCGGTCTTTATGATCCGCACCTGAGCCTGCCTGCCAAGGCTGAGGGGAGTGAGGTCTTCGGGAGGGCCTGGGGAGTCACCTGGCACATGCAGAGCTGCACTCTGGGCTCATGTGGGCCGTTTATTCCCATCTCTCCGGATCCACAAAACACACACACAAACAGGAAGACGGCGGGGGGCAGATGGAAGGGTCACTATCTCTGCCAGGTGGCCAGGGGGCCTGAGGATGAAGCCAGATATGATTTTTCTCGCATGACACACACACAGATTGAGAAACAGAAATGTTATACACAGCAGTTTAAAGAAATGGGCATTTATTGTAGACATTCTTCAAATTTATGGTTATGGTCTTTGTGCATTTAACTTTACAGGACAGATTGGATGTACAGGGAAATAGAATGGGATCGATGCAGCACAGGCTGGTTTCCAGATATCTTGATTCACAGCCTTACAATTCCCTGTATTCCAGACGGTGCGAAGGAAGTATGTTCCATATGGAGTGTGGAATACATTTTGACTTTCAGCTGTGTTTGTGACTTTTCCTTGAATCAGTGTGCAAACAAGTGAGCAGATGACTGAATGAATAAATGAAAGTGTATAGCAGAGAGAGTCTGCCATTTTCGTGCATGCTGATTACCCATAAGACTATTCTAAACCATTAAACACACACACAAAAAACACAAAAGCCCTCTCTCTTTTGAAAACAAACTCGGTATATTTATCCATCAACCATTTTATCCACCAACTCATTAGTTCATAATTCAAATCCAGTCGTAATATATATTTTGCTCACCAGCCACTAGTGGTTTTCCAAAGTTAGTTTTTTCACTAGCTACAATTCTGACATCGATACCAATGATTGTCAGCAGGTATATTAGGCTTCTGTCACTTTAAGAGCTGCAACTGTTTCTTTCTCAACTATGCTCACTTGTGTTGTTTTAAGTGCATGTTTACGTTCACTTAAACCATAACTGACTGTGTTTACGTGAATACTTACCAAGACTTACAGCGAAAACAAAGTCAATTTAGTACTGAGGCGTATGATAGGTAAGGAGATGCGCACCAGGAGGAAGCGGACAGTTGTGCTATAGCAGTGTCCCAAGCCAAACAAGGCCGCTGGATGAGGTGGGAAGGTGTGGAGAGGAGGAAGATCACTTGGAGCGAGCTGTGGAACGTGGAGTCCAATATGCTGAGCTTTACCATCAGAGCCACATATGATGTCCTCCCCTCTCCAACCAACATACATCTCTCGTTTGGAGAGAATCCAGCCTGCCTCCAGTGTTCTGCCCCAGCAACCCTGAAACACATCCTCGTGGGCTGCAAGACCAGCCTTACGCAAGGCAGATATACCTGGCGCCACAACCGAGAACTGAAGTGCCTGGCTGCTACACTCTAGAGTAAGAGGGTAACTGTCAACGCCATGCCCCAGGAACCCTAGACTACCATCCAACATCCATCGTCCGGGAAGGGGAAAAAGGGGCGATCAATCGATTACCTCCAGACTCATGCCCACTGAACGCAGCTTAGGACTGCGGGTAGACTTAAGTCAGAGGCTCACCTTCCCACCCGAAATTGCAGTGACCAACCGGCGCCCAGACGTGGTCCATTGGTCCAAATCCTGTGGAAGTGTCTACAATACATAGTGAAGCTGGCAGTCCTGTGGGAGGAAGCCATCGATGAGGCATTTGAAAGAAAAATGTTGCGACATGCAGAGTTGGCTGCCGAAGCAGGGACCGGGGATGGAAGGTAAATTTGGGTCCAGTGGAAGTGGGCAACAGGGGCTTTGTAGCTAGTTCCACAATAAGGCTACTAAAAGAGGTTTGAATCAGAGGACAGACTCAGTGGAAGACCATCAAGAACCTTGCAACTGCTGCTGAAAGAAACAGTCACTGGCTGTGGCTGAAGCGGAAGGAGACTGTATGGGCTACCAATTGACCTCATGGAGCCTCCGGTGCGACACACACCCAGGTCTGATCAGCCTGTGGTGGGCCAGCTTGGGGTGAGGGTATATTGTGATAAAAGGCCGAAAACACCCAATGAGGCCGGGGTGCACAACTGAGGATGTGTCATATTGGAGGCATCAGGTGGTCATCCCCCAATCCAATCCCACCCAAGAGGACATCTCCAACAACAGAGCTTAATATCAATGGATTTTAACATCTTGCACAAAATCTGTGAAAATTTGTAAAATTATGTGCAATATGTGCAATCCTACGCCGAAATTCAAGCCTTGTAACACCAACGATATTCATCTGGAGCAAATGAAATGAGTGAAAGAGGGGTTTGATGAAAAGAGTGAGAAAGTGCAGCTGGCAGGCTATCATGTATCTAAAATTGGTAGGCTATTGGAAGTGTTTCAGATATTTCAGTGTCGATATGTATCTGTAAACACTATATTGCAATTTATTATTTGTTTATTATTTCAGATGCCTTTTTAAAAGACTACAATTGAAAAATTGTATATGCTACTATATATAAAATTCAACCTACCAAAGAGGCTAATGGCTAGCCTGGTTCTACCAGACTCTCGTACATAAGTAAAATGAAATTGAGCGGAAGTGCGTAGGAGGGCGCAGCCAGGCTAGCTAATGGCTTGCAGATTGGGTGTTAATGTATATACATTTCTATACATCCTATACCTATATATATATATATATATATATATATATATATATATATATATTTGTAGGTCCATGCAGTCGGTCTTAAAGTGACAGCAGCCTAATAGCCATACCTACCGTCTGTCATCAAAAGACATAGAAATCATTGGTTTTGACTAAACATCTTTTGTATCTTTTAAAATAATAAATTTGTACTTAATTACTAACAGAGAAAATACTTTTCATTATTCAGTTTTGTACTTCTTAGCCTACATGCTAAATAATACTGTGCACTATCTGAAAGTTTATTTAATTTGCATCTATTTTATTTTCCTATTGTTTGTATTATTTGCTTATTAATATTCTTTTAATAACTGAAATAAAATAACAAAAATAGCTATATCGTGATAAATATTAAAATGTCGTGAGATGATTTTGGTGGATTTTTGCTGCAGCGTTTAATTTTTTTCTTTCTTAATTGTTAAAAATAAAATGTTTTTGGCTCAAAAATTGGAGAGGGCACATGTATCACATTTATATGAGCATGACACTTCACTTCTGGCTATTAGCAGAAACAAACAGGAGCTTTAAAAGGGATCCGCTCCACGGTTTGAAAGTGGAATGACCTAAAGTCTCCCTGTCTTGGTGCTGAGTGTGCGCAGGCTGTGCCTCTGCCATCCTCCGTCTAAAGCCACAGATGCTGCAGTGTTTGTGTGTTGACTCTGTGTAATTTGTTTGCACTAATTTGTTTTGGGGTATCTGGGGAGTTCCCTTTTTAATTTGCCTCTCTCTGTTTACCCCTCTTTGTGGAGCACTGATCTGTTAAGCAGCAGTAAGAGCAAGAAAGAGAGAGGAAAAGAGAGAGAGAGGGATGGGGTGTAGAAGAGCCTAAATTAATAGAAGGTACTATGCAGATTGTTTTAAGCTCTGGCTGCTCCGTCGGGCCCAAAGGCCTTGCTCGCAGCCTGCACCTGCTCCATCCCGCGGGAACTTGGTTCCTGATCCGTGGCCCCTCTCCCTCTCCGGTCTCTCTTCTCTTCTCTCTCTATCTCCATCTCTCTCTCCCCTGCTGTTTCCTCCGCACGCCTCCAGTGCCTGGAAACGCCTTAATCAGCCCTCCTCTGCGCATGAATGGCTGCCACTCATTAGCCTGATTGAAAAGATGGTAGCTCATGCTAAACACACGCATACACACATGCACACACAGGTTGGAAAACATTCACACACTGACTTTTTGAATATTAAAACCTACATTTAAGCAATTTAATGCAAAGAGTGTTGTTGTTCCGCATATCAGCATGACGGGTCATAAACAAAAATTGAATACTGAGCAACTTGCTAACAGTTCAACAAACAAAACATTAATATTAGTTATCTTAAATTTAAGGCAGAGTATTTCCACGTACTTGTTCTATTTTTTGCTTCACCAATGAAAATACTGTTGTCAAAGTAAAATCAAACATCCAAGCAATACACAATGATGGGCTTTTTGTTTGAGAATGAAGCAGAATTTAGAATGAACTTACTCATAAAAACAGTGGCTGTATCCTAAATCTCAGTATATGAAAAGACTTCTAAATTCACAGTATTCATAAAACAGTATCTGGATGACTTATTACTTCTGGTGTGATTTTAAAGTGTGCATCTGAAGGACACTTTACTATACCATGGCATGAGGCCAAAGGGAGAGGATTTGTGAATGGCAGTGAAGCAACACAACTAATGCTGGTAAATTAATAATAATAACAATTATTATTATTGTTACATTTATATAGTGCTTTTCTGGATACTCAAAGCGCTTTATATGGAAGGGGTAACTCACATGACAACAACAACACAAATGTAGTCTGTCCGGATTACGTTCATACACATTATTCATACTATATAGTACTTTTTAACAGTTGCAAAGTATTAACTTGTTCAAAAGAATTACCTACGCAGCATAGCCTATGGGATTTTGGTAGGTCACCTGTAAATGACAGCATGGTGAATGTTGTACATCCGGATTACATTCATTCTACACACATTTATACTATATAAAACATTCTTTTTAGCGGTCGTTAATAACTTTTTCAAATGCCTACTCAGGAGGGTATTTAGTTTCAGCCCGTTCTCATCCCAAGGCTTCATATGCTGACGCTTTTGACAACGTGTATCCATCGAACGCACATCGCACCCTTTAGCGTCAATATGAGACACAGGTATATATGGGCCAGAAGGCGCCTCCTAGTGGTCTAACTCTAACCCTACCACAGACCTAAACCTACCCATAACCGAAACGTGTTATATTGACGATAAAGGGTGCCATGTGCATTGGATGTATATGCATTGTCAAAAGTGTCAGTATATGACGCCCAAATGTAGCTAGACATATGTTTTTTTCGTGTTAACATGTGTTTTTTTTTTCTGAATGAATCAGTGTTTTTAATGAACCATTGGAGTAAATGATTCAATGACTCGCTCATAAAAAGTCACTTGTTTAATTCCTGAATGATTCTGTGTTTTTGAATGAATCGCTTAAGTGAATGATTCAATAACTCAATCTTAAAATCACTTGTTCTGTTCCTGAAAGTCGGAAAGTCTGAACTAATCGGTTAAAATAAATGATGTGACCTGAAAAAAGGACAGAGACAAATGGAGAGACACAAACAGTAAAAAGTAAGTGCTACTTACTTGGCCTGTTGAATCTGAGGACCTGAACTGTTGCATAATCCCCTAATAAATGTACTGTAAAAGTGGAAAAGAAAAGTAAAGCATCAAACCACCAAGCAACAACCAGCAACTAATTGCATTCACTGGCTTAAATGGTTTGGAAGAAAAAACGTGGCTCACACACACTTTGAAATCACCACAGCTATTTTAATTGATGTTTTGGAGCAATCATTGTCAAACAACCACTCAGTTCAGGATAACTACGCTCTCATGGGGGGGATCTCAGTTATGGACATTTTAAATGGTAGAATCTTTGTCTACATAGCCTATATATTTATAACCATCATTTTGCCTCCATAGACAGGGATTTAACTGGCTTCAAGATCTGGTAACAGATCTATAGCAAAATGGACTTTGACATCTTATGAGAGCATAATCCAGCTATGTTCTCAACACACAGGCACATCTCTAAAAGTCTATTGATAAACATATATCACAGGGTAGAATTCAAATGCATTGGTTAATGCACATTTTTGAAAGTGAATTTGGATACAACTGTTAATCAAAATGACAATTTTTAGTTGTGCATCTCCTTTAGTAAATGAAAAAGCTTAATTTTTTTATTAGGCTACTTTATATCCAAAAATAATCTGCAAAATTCAGTAATATTAACATAAAATGAATATGATACTGAGTTTATGACGTGTATTTGACTTTGGATCTATGTAGGGAATAAAGATGCACTTTACACCAGCTCACACAAACACATGCAGGTAAATGATGTATTACATTTAGCTACTGTATATCATACACACACACACATAACACATCCCACTGATTGTATGGACCCTGTTTAAGTCCTCTTATTTTCCCATCCATCCAACTTTACATTGTCCAATGATCTAAAAAGTGCAAAACAACAATGGAAAGTACACAACAGAATTCTGCATAAAAGATCGAACCTTACAGGGATTTAAATCATTTCATTTAGTACAGGCTTGGGTTTCAAGTAAATTCAACAGAAAGAGGGTGATCTCATCATGCTGCTGTTGATCACAACAATGTTCCCTCAACTAAGGCAAATCTGCTCATCTACACTTTGGTACACACACACAAAAAAAAAATCAGACACTTGGATAAAGAAAATGTATAATTATAGACTCCACCAAAGCTGACTGCTTAGTTTTCACTAGAGGTTTACTGTTGTTATTAATATTTAGAAATATTCTTTTAAGGCAGAAACTTGAAGTGATGCCCGCAAAGGCAATACAAGTGGCTGCATAGGACCACCTCAGAATGTGAATGGTCACAGTGCCCTCTGGTGGTGACATGCAAAGCAGGTCTGTTTAACAGAACCAAAACGGATAGAAACACATGGGGATGGAGAGAAAAGACTGTCACACGTACAAATGGTTGCAATCAGGCACACAGGTATTAAGCACCATTCAAACTGATCAGGAATCAGCCGACACTGATGACACACACTGGAGCTATAACCAATACAAATTATAGGAAGGGATTATGTTCTATTGTAGCCTAAATATTTGTGAAGATTGGATTCTCATTTAGTTATTTTGTGTTTAAGCTTTTTAAATCTTCATCAATTCTATTTTTAAGTACCTGACCTGGGAGCAGCAGTTATTAGGTTTAAAGTCACCATGAAGTCAAAACTGACAAATCTTAAGGTAATATTGCAGTATTTATAAAAAAAAATAAAAATAAATTAATGTGCCCTCATTATCTTTTTATCAAAATAACTTGCCCTTCCTCTTGCCACTACAGCTCTCTGATGACATGTTTGCTACCGTGAGGGCGAGACGACCTGTCAATCACATGAGGTCGACCAATAGCAAACCACAACGATCCAATCAATTCCGACAGAGCCGTTTCACTCGGATATACATCACAAAGGGAAGAAAAGACTATATCAACTTCTGTTTCATGCCGACTTTAAGAAGAGAGGCATTCACACAGGAAAAATTTAACTCTCAGCCTCACACAAACATCCTAGAATCAAGCAAGCTAATGTCACATGACTCTGTTCTGGAGCAAATCTTTGATCAACAATTGAGAAAAATGCCTTAACTGGTCTTACAAATGCAATGGGTGTAATTTCAATTCAATTGTTTCCTAGAAATGAAAGCCAATCAAATTCAAAACCATACTGAAACTGTGGACAAATGAACTGTTGTAATTTAAAACATCTGAGAAAGATGGATGAGATATAATGTTTTTACAAACGTGACTGTCCAAGATGTACAACTGAGAACGGATGGTCTTTTACACGTCTCACAACGGGAACTGAAGCGAGCGCCCGACTTTTGCTTGTCCGTGACTGATGTCAAGTTGTATACGCACGTTTTGTTTCTACTTCAGGTCCATCAAAGTGTGATTTATCCAGGCATGAATCATCAATATCAGTTTTGTGTGCCAGCAGATAACAACCACCACCTCTATTAGATTTAACCCTTGACCTGCTCCACATCTGAGCCATCTACTTCAATGTCAGAGTCTGAGAGCGAGCGTCCGGAGTGGTCAGAGTTTGAGTTACTGTATGAAGGCAGGCTTAGATCGCTCTCCTCTAAAGTGTCGGTCCTGGAAAAGAGACCAAGGTCCAGCTGGCAGGTGGGCGTCCCGCTGCTGTCGTTGTCGCTGTCATAACAGAAGTCCTCTAAGTCCACAAACCATTCGGGCCAGAACTTCCTCCGTATGCGCTCACAGTACATGGCGAGGTTGATCAGTTCTCCTGGGCACACATAGACATAATTGTTTGTGTAGCTTTCTTGAAACATGTCAAAAAGGGTTAGATGAATGGTGATTAACAACTGATAAACTTACTTGGTAACACTCTACAATTAGGTTCATTTATTAAACATCAGTTAATACAAATCCAGCTGTTCATTGTGTTCACAGTGCTTTAACTAATGTTTTTAATAAAAGTATTATTACGATTTTAATAAAGTATTAGTAAATGTTGAGATTAACATTAACAAAGATGAACAAATGCTGAAGAAGTGTTGTTCATTCTTAGTTAATGTTAACTAGTTAACTAATGAACCTTATTGTAAAGTGTTACTTTATTACTTTACTTACTACTTTATTACTTAAAAAAAAAACAGTTAAACATGAAAGTATTATGCAATCATTTAAGACATTTCTCCTTATATAGAACCTTTTGGCATAAATTATTCTTTAAATCTGAGTCAGGAACTGAGTCAGGGATGTACGTATATAGAAACCAATTGAACTTTATCTAAGAGTGTAATTTTAATAACAATACAGCAAAATATTTCTATACTGCTGAGGCGAATTGACATCCTGTGTGTGACTGAACTGTAACATGCAGAAGCACAAATAAATGCTTATAATGCCATCTAGTGGAAAAAGTAAATAATTACATTCAACAAACGGCCATGCAAGGGCACAAAAATTTTAAATACTGGTAGTTTATCCCAAAAAATGAAAATTCGAATACCTTACTCACTTTTCCCAAACCTGTTTCATTTTCTTCCGTGGAGCACAAAATATATTATTCAGAATGTTCATGCTGCTCTTTTTTTTTAAACAATTAAAGCTCCAAAAATAACAAACATACCCCAAAGTACTATAAACAAAATCCAAAAGACTTATGCACTATATGTTAAATATATTCTAAAGCCATATGATCACAAACAGACCTTCATTTATGAAATTAATTGAAAATCTTACTTTTTTGTCCTCCCAAACCCATCCACCAACATTTTATAGAATAGAATAAGTTGAATATTCTGTCTAACATCTCCTTTCTTGTTTGTTTGGAACATCATGAAGTTGAGTAAATAATGACATTATTGGATATACTGTCCCTTTAAAAACCACAACATCCAAAACTCAAGACATGCATGAATCTCCCTTTTGCAGTCCAAAATATCACTACTTGTGTTTTAATCGGCCAGGCAATCATTTCTGTGACTGATGCTGAGCGTTTTGTTTCTATTAGGAGAGCAAAACTGCAGTTGTGAGGTCTTGGTCACCTTTAATGAGCTGCTCGGGCCGTGTTCCAGGCAGCGTCCACATGGCTTGTGCAAGGTGACCGAACACTGTGGCATCCACACTGGACAGTTTGGGACCCATGATGTACTTCTTATCCCCTGGAAGTCCAAAAAATTCAAATGACAGTTTTATGGCCTGGAATAAACAACGTTACACTACCGTTCAAACGTTTAGGGACAGTGAGATTTTTTTTTTTTAGGTTTTTGAAATAAGTCTCTTATGCTCACCAAGGCTGCATTTATTTTTTCAAAAATTAAATATAAACAATAAGACAGAGACGTATAATAACCACAAGTTAAAATAAGTTTTATTGAATATATTTTAAAATACAATTAGTCAGTGTCACGTATTATCATCAATGTTGAAAACAATTGTGGCGTTTGATATTTTTGTTGTTACATTTTTTCAGGATTATTTACATGAATATGAAGTAAAAAAAAAACAGCATTTATTCAAAATGTAGCATTTATTGACGTAGTTGTGTACATACGTCACTCGCCCATGTGTGTCTCGTCATATTCGTAAATATAGACATTTATATTTGCCCCGGCTACTTTGATGCGTATATGTGGGAATCGCATACGTTAGTTGTCACAATGAGCAGAGGAGAGTCCGCTTGCAAAAAGACACTGCAGAAGATCAACATTGAACTGAGAGGTCTGAAATGTGTTAAAATTGACACGGAGATGGTTTTAATTGCCATATGTAGCTCTCTAACAGAGTTCATTATAAAGAATTATTATTGGGAAGGGTCATTTCATTATGTGTTGTAGTGCTGTGCTGGAATATTTTTTAAGGAAGTACCATGTCTATTAATGAGTATAGCTACAGTAATGTCTTTAGCTGGTCAGCTTGAGATCCTTTCCATCTAAACTGGTTATATCTATTAAGCCTAGTGGCGAATGCTTTATGAGCAGTTGGATAATATCTACTAAAATATAATTTTTTAGTTCACGGTTCACATCCACAGTCGTGCAGAGCCGAAGCACATCCAAAACAATGTTCTTCTGCAAAATGCATACAGTATCGTTTTTTTTTTTTTAAATCACATAGTGTAACTTTAAACATTGTGATCACATAAGAAGAAAAAAAAAATGCTACTTTAAAGCTCTATTTCTTGTTCTCCTCACCTAGCAGTGTGGCCAGTGTGCGCATGTCCTTCTCCATGAGGGCGTAAACCTCCTCTTTAGTGAAGCAGCCAATGCCATGACAGTACATCTCCCTCTTTACGATCCCACCAGTCAGCTGACACAGGGTCCATTTGAGCAGGTCACTGAGGGGTCCGGGAAGGTCCAGCATCCTCTGAGTCTCCTGAACATTATCCACCCACTGACAGTATGCAATGGTCCTGTGAGGACAAGAGAGAGAAGAGAGAATTAGAGGGGAGTCCCTGCATAAATATGTATAAAGAGTCATTTGTATTGTGGGGGAAAATGTCATATAATGAAGACAACCTGTTTAATAATAATACTTATTGTTATTATAATATAAGTAATTGGCCTTTATATTGTCATTGTCACAGTCTAAACCTAGCCTTTAGAAAGCAAGTACATTAAAAACCAAAGAATAGAGTGTCTGGTAGTTTAGACTACTGTATGTAAATATATGTATGAATGTACTGTATATTTAAATGCATAATACATTTATTTAGCAGCTGCTTTTATCCAAAACAACTTGCAAATGAGGAAATTTACAACAAATAATTGATACAAGTGATTCATCATAATATGGGCTTATTTATAATTCAGAGTTTATTATAACTGAGTGCAGCTTCAATATCACACAGAAAACAAACTCAGTTTGGCCGTTGAGATTCAACTTTGAATTAATTCTCTGCTCTGTGATTATCTGAATCAAATTAATTAAAGCGGTCTTCTAATTAACTTCTTTGCACACTACGCAAAGCATTAATAAAAGTTTTTCATACAAAATGGCTTCAAGCGCTCTTTGGGTTCATGGCTTCATGGCTGAACTCACCACAACTCAACCTTTAAATCAGATTCAAAGCTTCAGTGTGCAAGTTCTGTGGCAAAATAATGACATAATAAATAAATTCCATGGAAATTACTGTATTCTACACATTTGTTAATATGATACTACAAGGTCTTTTTATTTAAATGGGTCAAGTGTGTTAGGAGGTTTATATCTTGACCAAACCAAACTGTTATAATCCAATTTTTCTGTCAATATCCCACCATGAAATCCATAACTCCTATTCATAGCTCAATAAATGTCCCTGCTCAGCAAGCTTTTCAGCTGACATACTGTACACAACACCACTCTGAAGTGGACAGATATTTAAACCCATTAATTATTCAATCAATAGCCATGTGGGAGCCTATATATAGGACAGTGTAAAGCGTTTCTGACAATGTGAAGACAGAATGCACAAGAAAAAAAAAAGAAGAAAAATTAATTCAAGGAAGCTAATAATGCAAAAGCAACGAAGAGGAGTAGATTAGGTTGTAAGAAAAGAATGTCTATTCTATTGCTCTTCCCCCCCAGTATAATGCTTACTCTAATATCTAATATACCCAATGTGTAGGAGAATGTTTCAGAACGAGTCATTCATTTTATAAATCTGACGCTTGCACTGCAAATCTTGCTAGCTGTACACTCCAGGCTTATCATGCATATGAATTTATTTTAATGGTTTACTATTACAGACTCGAACAACTGTTTGTTGTTTTTATTATGCAAACAGAATTGGCTTTATCTTACAATTGAAATATTCCAATAATTTGAAATAGAACATTTGAAATTTTTTCCATAAAAATAACATTCACTTAAAGTATTACAAAAATGATGAAGATTATCAATCTCCTATGGTCTAGTTAAAATCAGTAATGTGTATGGCAGCTTTGTAATTCTGGACAAGTCATACTAAATACAATAAGACAAAAAAAAATCATTTCTATTTGATAGAATGATATATACACATTTTTAAAGTTAAAAATAAATTACATGCATTTAATTTATTTTTTAAAAATTGAATTAAATAATTGTATTACCGGTATTATAAATGTAAATACATTCACCAACCTAAAGGATGAAGAATGATTTATACTTTTGGGTAATAATTATATTTCTATACCGTATTAAGCCCTCACACCAAAAATATATTTTTTTTTTACTTATCACATATTGCATTTTCTTCAAAGGTTTATTACCAGACCCCAACCCTCCAATGTTATAATCCAGATTTTCTGTCTATATCCCAGCATGACATACATATAATCCCCTGCTCTAGTCAATAATCAGTAAGTGCATATTTGTCCCTCACAATCCAGCAACGGCTCAGTAGCAGGAGAGTGACTCATTCTGAATGCCAGCACATGACTCACCAGTACAAGTGTTCCTCCACCATGGTGGTGATGGCCCGCGCTACCGCCTGCTCCTGAGCGCTCAGACTCTTGTTCAAGCTCATACCAAGTTTCTCCTCCAGAAAGTCAATTATATATTCAGTTCCACATACCTGCTCGTAGTTATACTCAACCCAAGGCATCTTGCCCTGGGAAGAGAGGCTTCCATCAAAGTAATTCTGCAATTAAAGAAACATAATGAAGGTGTAAATATCTGAATAATAATAATAATAATAATCTCTATTCTGGAGCATCTGGATGTGAATGAAAAAATGATCCTATTTTCTAAGGGCTTTCATGAATTTCATTGACATTTCTACAGCAGATGGTGCCACTTCATATAACTGCATGTAACCACTGATCAAAAGAAACCCGTAATCCATACTGCTCCTTCATGCATACTTGATAGGGCAGATCAACCATGCGCAGATATGTCTCCATTTTCAGGCAGAAAGGTGACAGGCTTGGCACCCCATTTTTTGGCCTGGAGAACTGGTGAAGGATGATGGCGTCTTTAGAATCCAATTCTTGCTCTTTCCTGTAAGGAGGACATCAAACAGATTGTAAAATCAGACCAATCTATTCGAGATTTTGATATGAACAGATGTATTGTAAGTCAAAATACTGATGGTTAAGTATCAGAGTCTGACATATGTATCAGAACTTCACATGTATTCATTTGCCATGCATTTTTTCAATCAAAAATGACTTGCAGCTTATTTACGGTACACATTTTATCATCATATCATATTTGTTAATTCATCACCCTGGCATTGGAAAGCGTCATGCCTTCCCAGTTGAAGTACAGTGAGAAAATGGTTTTACAGGAACAAAATTTATCCTTAAAAGCAGCCATTTAGCCCGCAAAAATCTCGTGAAGTGCAGTGGAAAACAACTTATACTGTAATTATGTGTAAACAGCAGGATGTGTGTGGGAGGACACACAGGCAGGTCTTATTTTACAAGCAGCAACAAGCTTGAGCTTTCAGAACAACACAACCTAGTCCTATTCTGATCACAAACCATTTTAGTTTGTGCAAAATTCAAATTCTTTAATCGCAATAAATAATCTAAAACAGGACAAGTCTGTCTTGGCCATCATTAATAAAAAGAAATCATGATTTCTACACTACAAATAGCCTACTATATATATATAAAAAAAAACGATTGGAGATTCATTTTCATGATGATTGCATTACATGAGTAGTTACACCTGTGGGTCTGTAATTAACCATAATGGTGACAGAAACTTGACCTAGTGGTATGTAATTCGAGTTAAAGGGATAGTTCACCAAAAAAAATTTAATTATATTATCAATTACTCACCCTTATGTCGTTCCAAACCCAAAATACTTTTTCTTTGTCTTTTGTCTTTTTATCTTTGGAACACAAATTAAGATTTCTTTTTATTAAATCGGAGAGCTTTCTGACCCTCCATTGACAGCTATGCAACTACTACCACTTTTGTAATTTCATGTTTTCAAAAAGTTCATAAAGAGATCGTAAAACTAATCCATATGAATCAAGCGGTCCAAATTTTCTAAAGAGACACAACTGCTTTATATGATGAACAGGTTGAATTTAGAATTTTGCTCACATTAAAAACATTAATCAACAGACCCATCAGTTGTTTCACATGTTTGCTTGACATGTGAGTGAAATTCATTGTGTGTTACGCAGCACGTTTGAGCTTCCACAACAACCAATGAGGTTTGTTCTCGCGCATAAAGAGCTTCTTTTTATGAGGGTGAATAGCCAAAATGAATGACAGAATTTTCACTTTTGGGTGAACTATCCCTTTAGCAAACTGTTACATGTCATTAACTAGGCAAAAAAAAAAAAATGATTTTCCCAATTCCCAAAGGCCATTCAGTTTTGTAAGGACTCCACTCACATAAGCTATGCATTTCAGATGCTTGCTTCCATGTGACTAAAATGAACATTCTTATGCACAAACAATGTCTATTTATGTCTAATGTTTGTTTATTGCACATATCTGTCTTTTTACGTGAAAATCAAAGAATACTTTCCATTATGTGGTAAACGGAATAGATAAAAAAGCGTAAAGCACCAGAATGAATTGAATGCTGCAGAGCTGAGGGCTCAAACATGACGCTGTCCACTGTTAAAGGTGCTGAAATCCCCCAGTGAAGTAGTCTATTCTACGACGAGGATGAGAACATCTCTTGCCACAAACAGCTGTAAGTCAGTAGGTTAGGACTTCCAACAGCATAGCAGCTCACTTAAGTTATATTTATTAAGTAACGGCCAGCCAAAGGTCGCTTGTACAACGCAACTCAAGGACATCGTGCTCCGGTGGAGTAAACAGTCACGATCACGTGCCGCAAAATATGGCGCGTCATTTACACAAGAAACGAATTTATTAAGGTGCTGCTGTTGTTCTATGCCAATGTAAACAAGAGCATTTCCAGCTGAATACTGATGACAGGGCGTTTTCATATGCTCCACTGCGGCCGAAAACCGCTAGTGCATGTAATCTAGAAAACGTGACTTGACGCGAGCTCAAACAATGTAGGCAACACAAAACACAAAACTCACTGGAACTGACACTAGGCCTACCATACATTTTACAGGTTCAAATATATAAAGGATTTATGACGCGATATTATGAACAATGCCAGATGGTAATTTCATACATCATGTGACATCACATTCACTGTTAGGCCAAATCACTGACCTGATGGAGAGCAGCTCATGCAGTAGATACGCAGCCGCAGCCAGCAGGGCACCTCCGGTGATGTAAAGCGTCTTCCTCCACCAGGAATCCGATACCAATCCCGACATGATCCCACCGATATCCTGCACAGGGACGGCAACTATGTCCCCATAAAATAAGTGACGCTCATCAGAGCCACACAGCCCGAAGGACGGGCTCTGATTCCGGCCGAGATCAACCACGAACGACCGGGAGGAGGCGAAACCAACAACCCAGTACATTCTCTCTCTCCTCCCGCTTCCTCCAACGAATCCTACGCCACTTCATTTATCCATATAAATATGGACAGTCGTTACATGGTTGTGTGCTATGTCGACCTCGTAAGACAAAAGAAAAACATTTTAACGGGATTTGACTCCCGCACGGAGCTCCGCATCCTCCTTTGTTGCTGTCCTGGAACTGGGTGACGTCACGGCGCATCACACATGGAAACTAAGCAAACACATTCAGGCTTTAATAAAACCAAATACGTAGGCCTAAGCATTATGTGACCGACAAGGAGTTTTAATATATATACATAGCCTACATACACACACACACTAACATAGGCTATGTGTCACCAATATCACCCCTCACATTTCAGCAAACCTTTTAGTATATCTTCTCAAGGGACAACACTATCGAAGTTAAACCTCGATATATTTTAGAGTAGTCAATGTTTTGCCTAATAGTAGAAATATTTATATTATGCAAATGCTCTGATAGATTGTAATATACATTTTGGTAAATGCTCTGATAATTGAATCAGCTGCTTTCTAGACTTATATTTAAACTTGAAGTTGATCTAGAAGATTATTATAATTTTTATTCTATTTTTTATTTATATACTAAAGTTATCATGATTGTTTGCAAGTCAAAGTAAATGTACTCAAAATAGAGAATTGCTCAGGCTGAATAAAACACCCTCAAATTACACAACTAATCAGATCTAGTCTTTGTGTTCATTTTATTAAGTACTTCAAAAATATTATACAAGTGCCATCAAAAGCATCATTATATAATTCTCCCTTTCTATTTGACCTCTAATATGAACCAGAGATCATCACCACAGAACACAAGTAAATTGTAGTTAATTGATCTACATCAAAATGAATATTGTGTGGTTCCATAGGTCAACCTCAAATTCTCATCTTAGCAAGAGTTTATAAAAGACGTTTTATGAATGTGTCTGAAGGCAAAGAATTATTACTGGTTCAGCAACGCACGGTTGCAACATTTTGTGATCACATCAGACTATTCTGGAGCAGGTGAAGTCTGTTTGATAGCAGTTCCAACATTTAAATAGCGCCACTGTGACTTGTCGCTCGACCTGGCTCACCCAGATTCTCACTCTCAGCCCAGACCCGGTCAGGCTGGGGCTCTTCTTTGGGTTTGACTGCATGTAAAGCATAGTTGATAGCAGTGCTCTGCTGCCAGCTCCAGGCTCCTGTGAGAGGATTGTACATCATGCCTCTGATAGCCTCCACGTAGAAACCAACTGGGATACAGTACAACAATAAGATAGTAAAAACAAGTAACAAAACAACTGTACAATAAACACTGTAGCAGTGAAACATTAGATCATATTAAGCAGTTATGCAATGCATACCAGGTTTTTCCAACAAACTGTCATTAAAACAGCAAAGGAGATCCATGAAAGAAAAGTTGAGGAGCAATACCCAGACACTAATCAATGAATTACAGTGAGAGAGAAATCAAACACAGAGATGAAACTCACAAGACTCCAACAGTCGTTCCAGATCCTCTGGGCTGATGAATTTATCCCAGTCGTGAGTGCCACTCGGAATAATCCTTAACAGCTGCTCCGCAGCCACAATCCCAAAAACGTAGGACAATTTGGTTTTGTTAATAGTGGTAATGAAAAGAGAGCCACCAGGCTGAAAGACAACAACAGCTCACATTAGTTTGATAATTAATCTCAGATTTCAATAAAGATTTATCTGAAATTAAATTTTGCAGCACTTTAGTCATTCATTCCCAATAAACAAATAGTTTCGGGGATATACACTGTGAAAAGCGATATTGACTAACTTGTGTGTGTACGTGTATCATTTAATTATATTATATATTTTAAACGATTAAAGGGTTAGTTCAACATCTGAACTTTCTTCAGGATTGTATTCTCTTCCCGTTCTGTTGTCAATCCGCGTTCACGAGTCCGCAGTGACGCTGCTGACGTGTTATCTGGTGCGCCCGAGCTTCATTTACAGTCTGAGGGGGACGCACGCTGTAAACAAAAAAAATCTTCGCAAACATGTCTAAGGATTGACACAGAGGAAGACTTGCATTTTTTTTGCCCAGCCATAATTATTTGAACCTGAAAACACGGACACACCAGAAAACGTCATCAGCGTCACTGAACGCACATCGACAACAGAACCGGCAGAGAATCCAAAGCTGAATGAAGTCGCAGTTTTTGTTATTTTGGACCAAAATGTATTTTCAATGCTTCAAAAAATTCTAACTAACCCACTGATGTCACATGTACTACTTTGATGATGTCTGTATTTCCTTTCTGGACAAGGACAGTATACCGTAGATACATTTTCAATGGATGGATAGAAAGCTCTCAAACTAAATCAAATATCTTAATATCTTCAACTGAGGTCTTACGGGCTTGGAAAAACATGAAGGCAAGTCATTAATGACATAATTTTAATTTTGGGTGAACTAACCCTTTAAAAGGGATACTTCAGGATTTAGCATTAAGCTTTATACAAGTAGAAAACCTGTAGTATTTTCAAATTACCATACTTTCCACCCTCATATCCCCCTGAGACAAGAGATTTATGTATTTTTTGTCTGGAAAAAATCCTCTGATGACGCAAAAATCGTCATTTTGCATCATCAGAGGATTTTTTGGCCAGAGGCTAAAGACTACAGCCAGCAGAAGGGGCCGTTCCGAATGTTTTAAACCCACCCATAGAGGGTGGGATCTCACTCACAGAATGTACACATAGTGTCAGCCATCTTTTTGGGAAGCTAAGCTCGCAGGCTCTTGTTCTGTGGAGAAAGCCGAGTGGGTTACCGTCCTCTTTTTCCCCAGACATGTCTGGCCGTCGATGTCCGGGATTCAGCTTTTGCTTTCTGCAGTCGCCATTCATTGTTTACATGTAGAGCTTTTGTTTCAACCTAACTGAATTCATTCCGATTGGTGAATCTGAATGTAGTGTTTACATGAACGCTAAACAAGTAATCAATTGATGTGTGTTTTAACATTGCTAAGAAAATTCCCACTCCTCCGGGAGAGAAAAGAGACCGGTGCGTCTCACAGATGTCACTAATCACGCCACCTCCGCGACCCTAGCCTCTTCCTGCTCTCCACAGTAAACAATTAATGGCGACTGTAGAACGCAAAAGCCGAATCCCGGACATTTTGGGCGATCTCGAAATACATTTTCGGGCCGACTCATCACGGAGACTCACTAGCAGCCTAGACGTGTTGTTTAACTACTGTTACTGGTAGGCGTGGCCTCCTAGGGCAGCGAAGCAAGTGCATTCTGGGAGTTGTTTCATTCACATAAGACAAAAATATATTTTCTGGCTTTTCTCAGTCTAGAAAGCTCCAAATTCAAAAATAATTTCACATTTCTTCTACATAAATAACCCATTTTAAATACACATTCATCTTTCCAAAAGTGAAGTATTCCTTTAACTGAAAGGGATAAAAAAGCCTAACAGAAATAGGCTGACGGAAGTGCCTCTTATTTTAACTGGATGTCACAGCTTTAGGGAAGATTATGAGGATTTGGAGTAACTCTTTAGGAAGACCGTTTGTCCTCCGACACACTGACCCAGAAGATTAAATCCATTCATTCAGTTATCCTCGCTGAGAATCTGTTGCTTTGTGCTACGGTCATTGTTTGAGATGTCAGTGATGCTGTGACACACCTTCAACACCTGCTGGCAGAAGCTGGCAAAGGCATCCAGGTCAGCCAGATGTTCCACCACCTCAGATGCCACTACGGCATGAAATCCCTCAACTTCCTCCTCAGCGAGGTCTTCCAGGGAGCAGGCCTGATAGCGAACTCTCTTCCGCAATTCAGGATCGTAGGAGGAGTGCAGCTCTGCGGTGCGCACACTGTCCTCCACTGGGTCAATTCCCAGGACATCAGCTCCAAGCCTTCCTAGTGGCTGAGAAAGGTTTATGTTACTCGGGGTTCAAAAAAAAAAGAAGAGAAAAAAGCCAATTCAAAATAACAAAAATGACTAAACTACTGTTTTAACAGTAAATAATGATAAAATAATACATTCATTGGACTGAAAATGTTCAATATTGATTTGAGTAGTATGATAAACAATTTAAATGGAAAAGAAAATTAGGATGTTAGTAAAAAAAAACAATATATATATATAATTGTTCAGTTTCAAGGAAAAAAAAATCATTGTTTACTATTGTACAGCAGGGATTGTTCACTGTTTAAACACGCAGAGGAAAAACATTTTATTTTTCATATAATAATAGTTATTTACAATAATTTGAACAAGCACTGACTAAACCTATCAGCAGCAGCACAAAAAAAAAAAAAAAAAAAAAACATCTGCACATTTCCCTCTGCTGGTCATACAGAGCAGTGCTCCTGAAAATGGGCTGAAGTAACCAGTCAACTGTCTGTACCACTGATGTGCCTCAAAGGGGGTCTTTCAACAAAAGCTTTTGCATGACAGGACACTCAAAAAACATCACGCTCACCAAAACACAACAACGACACATCAGGCAGAGAGACGGCCCAGAGAAAGTGTTTATCTCAATGGAGGAAACCACTGGGCGTGAAGCTGTCCGTTTTAATCATGTAGTTCAGTTGGCAGGTTTTCAGTTATCATTTGCAGCCAGCCAAAAATAATCATTCATGTTGTTATTAAACCCAACAAAGATGAAACAAGCTTTATTTTTACCATCGAACCCAGATCTGATCCATCAATTAAGAAAGCATCATACAGAAAAACTGAACTTGCACTAATACAACTGACTCAATAATTATCTGTCTAGTTAAGTCATAATTTTCATCATTAACAGAAGTTACCTCACTTAGAAGGCCTCCACCACAGCCGACGTCCATTATTCGGAGCCCAGTCAGAGGTTTGCCCAACGGCCGGACGCCGTGCACATTCAACAAATTATCCCTAAAAATAAGGTCAAAGGTCACGAAATGAGGTTAAGGCATTACTCTAGAGGACAAGTCAGGCAGAAATTTAAAGTGATGTACATCAGACTGACGCAAAACAGAAAATCTGAGGCTAATCACAGCATGCAATTCCAAAATGTGCTTCTCGAGTCACAAACACATCTCACTGCTAGTCCCTCTGGCTAGACACATGCCTTTGCCATCCTGAAGCAATTGTACATCCCAACTATTCGTCTCGCTGGACCCATGGGCAACATCCCCGTGTTTCTCCCCAAATGCTTGGACAGGCCTTGCAGACCAAAGCAGCCTGAGGTGCTCACTGCCAATCCTGTTAACTCAGCCCATCACTGCCAAAAAAAACCCTAAGTCTTTGAAGGAATTCCCTGCCTGATCTCTAGAAAACACACACTCCTCAAGTACAACATAATAACCAGCAACAGCACTGAGGTCCCTCATTTAAACAAGCCCCCAGGGCACCACCATACCCACGCACGCTGCATATCCGCTGAATACTCATCACTGATATAACTGATGCCGTGTGCAGCGAAGGGGAAGAAATTGTGCAGTGGATGATTCCAGGGGACGAAGGGAAAACATCTGACTCTATACATCCTGACTCGCGCAGAAACAGCTGCAAAAAGAAGAACCACAGACATGCTGCATAATCTCCAGCTGCTGTTCTCACCCTTTCACCATACCCACCATTACCTGGACATGAGACAAAACAATTCCTTCTGTGGACATTCTACCAGAAATGAATAGATTCTAGCAGTTCAGATGATTGATTAACATGAAGAAAACATTTGAAAGAAATTCATATTTTTATTCAGTAAGGAAGTATTAAAAAGATCAAAAGGGACAGTAACGACTTTTGAATCATTACAAAAGATTGCTGTTCTATTAGCGCTCCATTCATCAAAGAATCTCGAAAAAACAAATGTTTCTAGAAAAAGTAAGCAGCACAACTGATTTTAACTATGATATTAGTAAGAAATGCTTCTTGAGCAGCAAATCGGAATGATTTCCGAAGGATCATATGACACTGAAGACTGAAGTAATGATGCAGAAAATTTGTTATTTATCATTATTATTATTATATTAAAATAATTAAAAAAGAATATATTAAAAAAGGAAAAAAATTAAGTGTAATACAATTTTGCAATTTACTAGTTTGAATGTATTTTCAATTAAATAAAAAAATACAAATAATAATAATAATAATAATTAAAAAACATTACAAATAGCGACCACACACTTTTGAACAGTAGTGTAGGAAAACATGAAACACTTGTAAGTTGTAGGTGTGATATTCTATGGTTCATATAAAACAAATTTAAGTTAGGGATGCATATTAAAAACAAATCTAGGCACTAAAATGATTTATAGGTTATGTTATAACCAAAATAGCTGATATTAAAATAAATGTTTTTTTAAACATATACATTTACAATGAAATACTAAACGTTATTGCATGTTTTTAGAGATAGTGTTTTCAGATTATGTCACTTGAATATAATTGTAGATGAAAATGAGAAATCACATATAAATATGACAAATTTTTTAATATATTAATATATTTTTATATTGTGCAACCCTATTCAAAACAGAAATTTGCTCATTAATCTTTTTTATAAGCTGTAATGCATGCATGCAACCTTTTTGACCATGTATTAGTAGCCTACCAAGATAGTTTAAAATGAATGGAGAACCATGTTAGCCTATATCTTTAACGTATAAGAGATATATATATTTTTAAATAGTTACCTAAAATCTTGCTGATGGATGGTAAATAAAAATACTATTGTGCGGCCATGGCACTTTCATTAGTAGAAAGTACACACCGTATGAAAGGCACTCTCAGCTCATTCATGGAGTGCAAGGCTGCAAACTCTCCCTGCAAGTCCCACCACTTGCTCGCCATGGCCTGAAACTTGCGCACCTCGGCGGGGTCCACAGTATTCTGGGAAACCGTGCGGACATTTAAACGGGTCAATCTGCAGAAGAAAACTAATGTTAAAATCTCTTAATTATATGTCGTTATGATTCGCTTGTAAACAAAGACACAATGAAAGGGTAAACTAGAAAACTGGCCAATTAAATGGAAAAAAACATGCATTTAACTGCATATACAACTTTTTAAGCCGATTAAATCAGTCTCACCCGTTAGACAGCTGATTCTGTCGGTGATGCTGACACACCGTCCAGCTGTACAGAGAACGCAATGGGTTTCCTTTAGAAGACACGTTTCGGGTTATGAAAGTAGATTTTGCTAACAGCCCGAAAGCTAATCGTGCAAATTTACTGGAGTACATGACTGCGTCTCATTGCGTCTCACATGCACTTTAAATGTTCACTTCAGTCATTAAATACATATCCAATGTGACCGTGGCGTGTTCGCAGAACTTCTGACCGAGTAGAAACTCAAAATGGAATTAAACGTTCCTATCCCACATTAGGGAAAAACCATATGCAAACAAACGTAGCATTATCGACTGGTTCCATTTCAACATACGCTATTCACCTGAAAAGGTGGAATATGTTTTAATACTTTGTAGTTAATACCACATGTTTTAAATCAAATCAATACTGCATAAATCTGCAACCACAACATTCAGTTTGCTTGACCTCAAAACGACGGAAGCCCTAAGAGGCCATGGAATGTAATTTTTTAAATTTTTTAAATTAAGTCGTGATCACGAGAAAACAACTGTTGTTTTCTCGAGATAACGAGAAAATTAAGTCGTGATCACGAGATAACAAGAAAAAAAAATACATTCCATGGCCTCTTGGGGCTTACAAAACAACCTGCCATTTCAGGTTCTCAGAATCATGCACTTATCTTAAAATGTAATTCACGAAATGAATGGGGAGCTCACGTAAAATATGAAATCATCATACTCTCTCGTGTCATTCAATTCAAATCGTTTTTTTTTTTTTTTTTGGAAGAAGAATGTAGTTCACACAGTAGTTCATCAGACTGAACGACGTGTTCAGAGTCAGACCATTGACTGTAAAAAATAGGTTCAGACCAACAGTCTATGGTTCACACGAATCAAGCAAAATACATAGGGGTGATAGTCATGGGATTAGGGGAACCATCTCACCTTAATAGCTAATAGTAATAAACACGAAGGTGTGCTGAAAGATACTGTAGTCTAGGGCTACAACTTACCGAAATGTATATGCCACAAACATACTGTAATATCGACCAATCAGTGTTTTTCAACCGCGGAAAGAGGTTAATAAAATAGCTGGAGTACACTACAATGTCACATAACGTTACATACCAATAGTATTTAATAATACGTTCATTTAGTATTGGTATAAATGAGTATTTTCCTAAATATGTGCACTATATTACACATTTATTATATTTCTTACATTATTAAAATAGTATAAAGTTGTTGTAATAAAAACCACATTAACCCTATATTTAATTAGTTACTTTTTTTAATTAATTAGTTATTTTAGTTAGTTAGTTATTTTTAACCTTTAATAGTAAAAACAGACAACCACTCCTTGTTTTTATCAAAACAGCATTTGGCAAGATTTTCTTCCTTGAGAAAAATGAATAGGCTACCATTTAAAAAAAAAAAAAAGGCTACTGTAGCCTACCTAATATGTATCCAAAAAATTAATCCAAATTGGAATAAAACCACAAGAATAAAATTGAAAATTGTATAATGTTAAAAAATAATAATAAAATGAAAACAAAAAATAGTCACAGGTTTAAAACAGCATGAAGGTAAGTGATCAAACTTTTAATAGTTGTGCAAAAAACACTGAATGTGGTTTATAGACTATGCTAAATCATGTAATGTAAATATGCTCATAATTCCACATTGTTGATAATCTGTCTCCACCCAGAACAGGGCATTTCAAACAGCAAACAAAATGAAACAGGCCATGTCAGACAGAAAGAATCATTCTGGTTTTATTCAACAATTTACATTAAATGAGAATTTATTTTCACTGGTGTTAGGTTCTTAAAATGTTACAGTTTCAAGGTTCTATTGACTACTCGAATGCCAAGTCTTGCATAATACAAGGCAAAACAGTAACTATCATTCAAAATCATCTGTTTTGAAGACAACACTTAAAAATGCCATATATTTACAAAATGAGGGAAGTGAGGGGGATTTGGAGTGGAGAGTTCACCTACAACGTTGCCTCGATAATGAGACAAGCCTGTTAACTCATGGAATTTTAAAAGAAGTGCACAGATAAGAGGCAGAACACCCCTCAACGCTTGCGACGGCCGGGAGACGTGGACCTGCAAGAGAAACGGGAGACACACTATTAGTGCAATCACTAGAACAGATCCCATCCAGAGCTTCATACACACACACCTTAAACAGCTGTTGGATCAACACTGAATGAGAAAAGGGGGAAATTACATCAATCTCAGTAGCACTTGAGAAGCACAGCCCAACCATTTATGGATAACTCTGCTACTATACATTGAACATTATGTGACTGCAAATTTAAATGTACCATGTTAATTTAAAATAAACTTGAACCTAATTTGGATAGCAACAGTTGACAATCTAAATACTATTGATCATTCACACACAAACAATTAAAGCAGTACAAAAAAAAAAAAAAGTAGAAAGAAAATGGATACTACCTTGATCGTGACTTAGACTTGTGTTTGCGGCTTGCCTTCTTACCAGACTTGTGAGATTTTTCCGTTGACCTTGAACGACTACGTTTTGATTTCTTAGACTTTTTTTCTTTGCTAACCTCGGGGGAAGGGGACCTGCTCCTGCTGGACTCTGAATCGGAATACTTCTTGCTAGCTTTGGCGGAGCCTTTCTTGCTAGATTTGCTGTCTTGCCGGGAAAATCTCTCATTGTGAGAGTCAGTCCTCTCGCTCTCTTTTTTACGCCTCGGTTTGCTATCGTCTTCCTCGTCCCTTACTGAACTGCTCTCTTTCTCCTTGCCCTTCTGTTTGTCTTTCTTTTTATCTGATTCCTTCTCTTTTTTCTTCTTCTCCTTGTCGTGGCTCCGGCTTCTCTCTTTCCTCCTGTCTCTGTCCCTGTCCTTGCTGGAGGCTTTCTGTTTCCGCCTGTTGCGGCTCGTACTGCGACTCCGGCTACGCCTGCGGTCCCTGCTGCGCCTCCTCTCTCTGCTGCGGCTGCGACTGGCTTTGGACCTGCTCCTGCGGCCCCTGCTGGATCGGCGCTGCCGCGAATGGCTGCGCTTCCTGTGACGAGAGGACCGTTCGGTGCTCCGCCTCCTGTCTCTGCCCTTGTCGCGCTCTGAGTGATGCCTGCGAGAGCTGCGACTTCGGCTGCGCCTGCGAGTCCCACGAGAGGCGGAGCGGCTGCGTCGCCTTTTCCTTCTAGGAGAGGAGGAGCGGGAGGAGCTACGAGAGGAGGATGAGGAGGATGAAGAGGACCGGCTGCTGAAAGAGCTAGAGCTGGAGGTGCGGCTACGTCGCTCACTCGGCGAGGGGCTGGCACTTCCTCCGTTACGCCCTGCGTGCTCTTTGCTTGCACGCTTGACCTCACTGACCTCAGGCTCACTACGCGACCTGCGTCGCTCTACTGTAGGCTCTGCCTCCCTTTCCCTAACTTCCTGTTTGTGTTTGGAATCTGTCTGCTCCTCATAACCTGCCCTCTCTCTGCTCACTCTTTCCGATGCCAAGTCTTCTGAAAACACAAACACAAAAAGTTATTGAGTACACTTTTTACAAGGTTGATTAATAGTTATGTTCTTAGTCAACTAATAACACAAAATAAACAATTATTAATAATAAAAAAATACACTACCGTTAAAACTTTTGGGGCTTTAAATTACACACATACACACACACACAAACTGAACAAAATTATAAACGACAGTTTTTTTTGCCCCCATTTTATATCAGCTGAACTCAAAGATCTTAGACTTTTTCTATGTTCACAAAAGGCCCATTAGTCAAATATTGTTCACAAATCTGTCTAAATCTGTGTTAGTGAGCACTTCTCCTTTGCCGAGATTATCCATCCACCTAACAGGTGTGGCATATCAAGATGCTGATTAGACAGCATGACTATTGCGCAGATGTTTTCAGTCTTTATATATTTATTGAATCAATTTATCCTTACAAATTCAATAAAAAAATTTTTATACAATTTTACACAAATACCCTGATTTAGGATTTTAGTTAGTTATAATAAACAAATCAAATAGATTTTTTATACAATCACCCGAAAATAAATCACCCAGTTAATCGGTTATCAATTAGTTGACCGATTGATTATTTATATATACACATGATGATGACGATATGATATGCCAGTCAAATATCATCTCTTAATTAGTCAAGTTGAGGAAAACTGGAGGCAGGCTATGCAACTTAAAAAAAAAAAGACATAATCAGGCCATGTAAAATGCAACATATGATTACTAGCTTAACTTTCAAATAGACGGAAAAAACACAAACGTCCGATTGGCGTCAATCAACACCAATTGTGTTTTACTATGGTTTCACACACATCCACTTTTTGAAACATTGAGGCACGGATGTACCTAATACAAATAAATAAAACATCTCCAGTTAACTAGCAGATCATTCATTTAATTCGCTATTAAATGAGAGATCTAACGCTAAAATCTGTTCTTTTTGAAATCAAGCTGAGCGCTCGACTTCGCTGCTATAAGTTGCATGGACATCGTTGCACAATCTTCACTTGGACACGCGTTTCAATCTATCGCCGTTGCGGAGAGAGACTCTCTATTCATTCCAGTGAAATCACAAAATAAAATGCACACAAACGTCTCCCTGCTTGATATAGGCTGTAGCAAAACCACTGATGAACATAGGCTATTCAGTTTTGATGAGAAAAAAAAAACCTGTAGCCTTCAAGTGCACAGATTAGAACCACTGATCTATAAAATGAGATGTTCCTGATTCACCATCGTCCGTCGCGTCTGGCCTCTTAAAGCTTTTAAGGCCAGCCTGCCTGGGTTGTGCCTGGGCGCAACGTCTCACTCAATCGTTCATTGTTTAGGTCTATATTACAGTCGTTTTAGGCGTGCGCTTTATTTGAAATGCTGTATACAATGTTGTTTAATAACTTAACAAATTCATATTGTGTTAGGGAGTGGGATTATTATGTAATTTTAATCAGACAATTTGACTGGAGAGATTTAATTTTGTCTGACATTTAAAGTTTTTTTTCCCGGCCAATGTGTGGTAATTACCGGACAATGGAAACCCTGGTGTGTGTGTTTTAAATATATATATGTATATGTATACATATATACACACACAGTCTCTGGATGTACCCACCTTTTATAGTCTGAACCTCCAGTGCCAGCCTCTCCTGCAGCTGCTGCTCCTCCCTCTCTTTGCGACGGAAGGCATCCTGTTTCTGGCGAATGCGGTGCTGCAGCTCTTCATCGTCTGTATCTGATGAATCCGATCCTTTCACACTCCGCTCCTCATCCTCACTCTCGTCTGAGCCGTACTCACCCAGCCCTCCTGCGGCAACAAAGCCCCCCTCTTATAACGGACTGCAGGAGCATAGCATTCATAGTCGCAAGCTAACAGTCCCTCCTTTCTCAACTACTCGACTACATAAACCTTCACTAAAGCCCACCTTAACAAAAGAAGCATGCGTTTTATAATCTTCTATAAAGTGTTGCTGGAGGCTAACCATTTTGAGAAGATCTGCTGCTTGAGCTCTTGAGCTTGTAACAAAGTTCATTAGAGAGCTGAGAACCCCCACACACCACTTTACTTCCCCCCCACCCCCCCGGAGGACCTAAATGTAAAGACACTTACCAAGGCCGGTCAGAGAAGCCAGTGCATTTGACTGTGCCAGCTGTTTTGCAGGAGCTTTGATTCACATCAACAACAGGAACAACATGTTAAAACACATACAGCCACCACTTTCGAATAGGCAAGAGTCTCTAGAGATGAAGGTACACATATGCACTATTCACAAGATCTGCCTTCGGCAAAAGAAAAAAAAAGAAAAAAGAAAAGAAAAAAAAGAACAAAAAAGGATGGAGAGAAGAAAAAAGTTATCACACAAAATCTGTCAAACAGGCAAACAGTGGAGGAGAAAACCAGTCTGTACTAATGCAGTGTCATTTTCGAAATGAGATGCCATCTGGCAAACACAGAAGTGAGGAAGTACTTGTTTTACAGGAAGCAAATCTAGGAACGGATTTGACTGGAAACCCTTTGAAAGATTGCATTTAACTGCATCTATGTGACCATATCCACCCTCCCTCTGCAGTTTGTTTTCATCTTCTGTTGCATTAGCATAGAATGGCCGATGAAGAAATATACTTTTGCTTATCAAAGTATTACCAAGGTGCATCAGTCAGATAAAAAGACTTCATATACACATCTATATTAGTCAAAACATAACCAAACATAACCTCTTCCTCAGAATTAAACGTTAAGGCACAGTTGCACGGACAGAAGAGAAAAGGGGCAGACCTTTAGTGGCCCTGCGATGAGTCTCTTTAGCCAGTATGAAGATCTCCTCATTTGTGACTTCAAGGAGAACTTCGGTGAGAAGAGTTTTAGTCATCAGCATCTATAAGAAGCAAATAGGAGTGGTGAGAAGCACAAGTGACCAGAGTGGACTGGCGAATCGAAAGACAGAGCTTTGTGTGAACAGACCAGCTGAAACTCTTTCTCCTCTTCTGTCATTTCTGGTTCACTTTGGTCTTCTTGAACAGGAGGAGAAGTTCTACCACCAAACTCCAGCCTCCTCCCGGAATCGCCATGATTGCCGGCACCATCTTCACCATCCTCATCATCACTGTCCTGAATTAAAGAGTAGATGATTGGAGCGGAGACCACATGCTTGCAGATGACATTAGCGCCGAGAGGTATTTTTGATGTTAGGGTGCAACAGCTAACAAGCAATGTGACAATGTAAAAGACTGAAATTAATTGGAAGTTGCGTCTCAGTCCCTGTCAGATAGTTTTAAGGTCATCAATGTGCTAGTTTATGCCTATAAGTTGTAGCAGATATACTCTACTGTTCAAAAGTTTCGGGCTGGAAAGTTTTCACTTTTTGATTAAGTTGATTAATTCAATGTACCCCTTTCTGAATAAAAGTTTCTTTATAACATTTACTAAGCTCATATACTTTTGAAAAGTAGTGTACACACTCAGTTTCAATGGAAAATACATCAACAATAGAAATAAAAATTGTGCTTGTCGAGCCATTTCATGGGGTCTTTGAATTACTTAAGATAATAATGATCATGTCAATGAACATTTGTGCATGTCAGTGAACCCTGGGACAACAGTTGCCAAAGTAACCTCAGCAGGTTCCTTCGCTGTAAACAGATTCTGAAAAAGATGCTTACAAATTTGCTCTTGCGTGGCAACCGAGGCCCATCACCTTCCTCCTCTACTATATCGCTATCCCTTTCATTATTTGCCATTTCAGCACGCTCTTTCTCCATCCTCTCCCTCTCCAACTTTTTCTGCTTCTCACGGTCCATCTTTTCCAGGCCTTCTCGAATCCATGCCGGCAGGGTCCTCCGTTTAACAGCATCTATCACCAAGAGAGTGTTATCATGTGCATCCCTCTATCAGAGCAGTTTTTCTTAAGGTATGCGACACAACAAGTTGACGTCAAAGAACTAACGGCGATGAAAGGTGACGGAGTTGTTTTCTGCACAATAAAATGGTGCTCTGCAAAAACACATCTAAATGTTCATGCATAAGTTAGTTACGGCTATTATTTATTGGTAAAAGTATTAATCGAGAAGGAAAGAATTAAAATATCTCGGTGGAGAAATTAAAACACTACATTATTAGACTAATCGGAATACTATAATGGATAAAAATAATCAGATTAATCTATTGAAAAAATAAATTGTTAGTTCTAGGGATGGGCAACGATTAATCGCATCAAAAAAAAAAGTTTGTTTATAGTATACATAATATATGTGTGATTAGTGTGTATAATTATTTTGTATATATAAACGCACATGCATGTATACACTTAAGAAACATTTGCATGTATATACATTTATTATTTATTATACATAATTGATATATATAAACATTTTATAAATTAATAACACATTCTTCTTAAATATATGTGTGTATTTATATATACAAAACATTATACAAACACATGGGTTCAATTAATCGTTGCCCATCCCTAGTCCAGCCCTATATTCTAGCCCGTCCCGTCAACTTGGTGTGTTACGGCCCTTATGTATCTGCATCATTATTTATATTCACCAAGAGAAGGCGTCTCTGGTTTTATTCCCATCTGGTTGGGGGATCTGGGCCGTTCTGGTCTGAAGGTAGGAAGCCGGTCTCTTCTGTTCTGCGGTCCTTCAGGCCAATAAGGTGCATGAAACCCAGTGGAGGGTGGTCCATATGCTGCCCCCGTTGGAGCTGCTCCATGCTAAGATGAAATTGACATAAATAACTAAAACAGACATTAGGAAAATGGAAATATTTTGATAACCCAGACTTAAGCAAGCGTACCTGATAATCAAACTGATTGACAACAACTGGGCCAATGGGGTAAGGCTCAGGCTGACCCCCAAACCCATGACTGTTTTGAGAAAAGCCCCCATGATGTGGGTCTCCAGGAAATTCCAAACTATCTTGACTGTTACTGTCTTCTGACGGGTTGACGACATCCATCGGTACTTGGCCAGGAGGAATCCATGCTTGTTCTGGAGGGGGATGAGGAGGCTGACTATGCATTGCCCACTCTATAAAACAATCCACAAGTAAGATCACATTTTAAACACTTTTAACATATCAGCTATGCACTTCTGATCAGCACTGGCATGTTTAAGTGGGTATTTAAACATGGTATGCTGTTCAGGGTGTCATTTATTAGGTGATGAATAAAATCGGTTGTAATAAAGTCTCAAATTTTGCTACACTAGCAGCATTTTTTGGTGACGGTAAATTGCATTTACATTAAAAACACTTATTTGTTGCAGCTTATACAGGTGGTGTGAATTAAACACACTAAAAGGCATCAGAAAAGTGCTAATTAAGTAAATGATTTTGGCAGAAACGAAAAGAATTTCTTTGTTGGTTTGGCCGAATATCTTTCAATCAAATGATATGCTGGAACACCAGTGCCTCGTGAACATACGTATAACAGTTAGCGGAAGTTAGAGATTAAAGTTTGTAAAGTTTAAATACGAGTTTCGATATTTTCCTTACACAAACACATCGCTTCACTTCAGAAGGACTTTTATTAAACCCCCAGAGCTGTGTGGAGCACTTTTATGATGGATAGGTGCACTTTTATGGACTGTGTACCTATCCAAAAGGTGCACAGTTCATAAAACAGAAACAGCAATTAATTGCCATTATAAAGCTTGGAAATACCAGGATATTTTTAATATAACTCCGATTGTATTCATCTGAAAGAAGCATATCATATACATCTAGGATGACTTGAGAGTGAGTAAATCATGGGCTAATTTTCATTTTTGGGTGAACTATCCCTTTAAGTACATCTGAGCAAAATTAATTATCAAACAATTAAAAAATAGGAACAAGGGGACTTTTTTCTGTCCATTGGTTGTTGACTGGATGAAAGCAGATCTGAATGAGAGCTTACAGTCGAATGTAAGGAAGGGGCAGGGTTTAAGTGGACACAAAACACCATAGAGAAGTTCATTTAATTAAACATAAAAATATAACATGCTCAGATTAACTGTTCCCAATAAGATCATTAAGATAAGAAGCATTTATACAATTCCAATGTCATGGTGTGACACAAACAATGCAGTAAACAATGAGTCTTAAACTGGATGCATGATTTACTCAATTTGTTTTATTTGATATTCTCTGTCTTTAAAATGCCCATTGTCAAACTGAAACATTTCTCACCTGGTTGCCAACCCCTGCCAAAATTGGTATCGCCTGGAAAAGCACCATGGTTATTATGGGCTGGAGGTTCCATGTTCTGCATCTCCTGACCATTGGGCTGAATCCCTGGCTGGTCAGGAACCGCTCCAGTGGACTCTTTCTGAGCTATCCATGCTTGTGCTAGAGCAGCCCAGTCCACTTGACCTGCAACACAACCCAGTAGTTTAAACCAGGGGTTTCCAAACTGCACGGGTTATAGTAGAAACAAATCCTGAAACTGAACTTTTTTTCCCTGGGATATATGTGTAAGGGCAAGTTTATCTTCCGCTAATTTCTGTTGTCTTTCAGAGAAATGGTCGTCGTGAGAGTGCATTGTTTTGTGTTCCCTCGCATGCATTTTAAATTAATAACTACCAACACATAAGGAAAATATGTAAAAGGTATTTAAAATATATACACAAGTGCACGAAAGCTTTTTATGCACTGAACAATGCAATGCATTTAACAACAATCGCAGCATAAATATTAGTATTGAAATTCTAGTTCCTTCCTAGGCATACTGTCAAATAGAATTATTAGTCTATTTTTTTATATTCTGATTTGTCACATCAAACCTTTGGTTAAGCTTACTTAATATTTTTCATTCCTTTTAATTTGTTTTGCCATGTTTGGGTAAATCAGTTGAGGCAGCAGACAAAAACTACCCAGTATTCTTCAAGTTCTTCAATTATTCAACAGCCATCAGGCTACTATTTTAATTCTCAAACTTTTTGATAATGTACCATAAGTTTGTACATATGTCATACTTTGACAAGGGAAAAACTGCTCTAAAATGAGAACTAACACCTCCCACCCCACATTCATTTTTTAAAATGATTTTTGGTGGGTCTTGAGATAGATTAATCTTGTCTACGTGGGCACTGGACTGGAAAAGTTTGGGAACCCGGTTCAAATAACCGGTGTACATGATGCATGTTATTACTATCTCGACTCAGTCATATAAGAACAACGGCCTAACCTGGATCCTGCTGGTGCTGAAAAGACTGCATCCACTGCTGCTGTGAGCCCAGAGGCCACTGAGGCCAGGGTTGTCCTCCCTGGTCCCACATCTCTCACCTGTGTGCCAAAAGCCGATTTATCAGATTATGCAGCTCTAACATTTGATAAACATTTACACACGCAGATGTGTACATTATTTGCACACAATACAGGGAACAAAGGGTGACAGCAAATAGAGCATTTAGTTTGCAGTTTCCCTATAAGGAGGAAACCCTCCTCTTTCATTGCGGATCAGTAATATTTCTAACTAATGTAACGTTAACCCGAACTGTGGCAGTTCCGAAGACACACAACACAGAAAACACAATCGCAATAAGAATACTGCAAAACCAGGCTAGAATGGTACATGCACCAGTGCTTTACAAAGCCTTTCTGTGCATTTACCTTTCTGTATTTCACTGAATATAATTATGACAAGAGTAACAGAAACCCAAGCGTCGTCGTCAATCTGGCTATGCAAGCGTTAGGCCGCGCGTCTACAACATCAACACCCATTAAAAAAATATTCAAGGCTTTTTAAACGCACGAATACGGACTAGTTCTCTAATCGCCGCAATTTATCCCAATGAGAAGCGTAGAACTCTGAAGGAGTTTGCTGAAGAATTACAGACACGTTGCGATTCCTTACCTCTCCACTTCTCAACAGTAAAATGGCGATGAAATGATGACCCGGAAACAATGCCAACAACAACAGTGACCTCACCCCGCAGGCCCTCTAGTGGAGATCATGGTGGAGATCATATCAATAGAAATAAATTAATAAACACTATTTATATACAAAAAAACCCCATTAAAATAACAATTAAAATTGTTATTTTAATATAAAATATTGTTATTTTATATTAAAATAACAATAATCCTCTAAAATCAAATAAGATCTTACTGTATAATCCAAAACGAATAACTGAAATTGTCTAAATCTAGCAAGGAAAAATGCTTAATAGATTACCCTTATACAAGTATATAAAATGTAATGCTTGTTTTATACATACAAAAATGTATAAATCCATAAGTATAATGTATAAATGTAAAATGTATAAATCCAAATCCTTTCATCAAGTCTATGGATGAATCAAGTCTATGGATGAAGTCAGCAGAACTCAAACTTTTTTGACTAATAAACGTCCCCCGCTGCCTAATATTTTGTACTTCTGCATTTTTCTGCTTGTAAAAGCTGTAAAATGTAAAAAAAAAAAAAAAAAAAAAAAAAAAAAAAAAAAAAAAAATCTAATTCAATATGCTTAGAGTTGAAATTGTGAAATCGACAGGTTTAAAATTCATATGGTTAACATTTTAAGGCAGTAAGATCATGTTTTTACTGGGGACACAAAAGGCACCCAAATCCCAGGAATGACCCAATTATACTTTTCAAATTCCCTCATACACCAATGTTGTTGTTTTTTTCAGGACTATGAATCCCATAAAACCTGATTTTTAAATAAAAATTTCTCAGCTTCTTGATTTTTAGTTATTCTGAATCTATCTATCAGTTTAAAGTCAGACCAGGATCCTAGCAGAATGCAAACAGTGTGACACCTCTGCATATTAGAAATGAAGTTTACTAAGCATAAACTTGGTTAATAGGTTTCATAATTACTATGGAAGCCATTTTTAGGACTTTACAATAATTTAGAGACTATGTGGAACTTCTCTTACTACTGGACCATTTAAATGAAACAGTATAGTGAAAAATGTGATTCAGTTGTTGGAATAATGCCCAGTTACATTCTCAAAATTACCAGTTCCCATATATCGACATTAAACATACTAAAAATATATTTTTATACAAATTTAATAGAATTTTCTTTTAGGTTCTCAGGTTGCAGTTTGTGAATTCTGAATTTAATCTCAAATACAAGAGCGCCATGTGGTATTGATTGTTTCAGTGAACAATTCAATACCACACTGTTACTGAAGCTTGTGAGGAATGAATGAATTTTAAGGACAAACCTTGATGTATGATGTATGTAATAATGTAAAGGGAGTTGAATACACCCGACATTCCAGAGAACCTCTCTGGCAGCTTTGACAAATAATAGCAGATAAATGCACACGCAAGGACTGGTTAAATAGCAAGAAATTCGATGGCTGTCACTTAAATAGAGCTCAGATATCCTATCCATCATACAGATTCTAGTATCTAGTTTCTGGTGTCCAGCAACAGGAAATAAAATTCACCCAGCCTCAGACAAGTGTAACACTGTGCTGCCACCCCAAACAGACAGAGTTGCATTAGCAAGAATTACAGAAGAGGTCACATGATGTCAAGCAAACCAGAAACACAGCTGAAGTCAAAAAAGATAACAACCATCATCTCTAACCACTTGTTATGTCTGCCCTGAAGGAATAAAGAAAAGCAAAAACCCTCTCCCACCCTGACACGTCTTCAGATTCAGCAGGTTCTTTTGAAAGTAAAAGCATCTCCACCAATCTCCCAGATCAGGTTACTCTGTCAGTTCAGACTGAGGGACACACATCCTATCATTAACTCGCATAAAATCCTCGGCACAACGTCCCCGGAGCAGAGCCCTGCTTTAAAAATAGACACACACTTCAAAAAGATTGTGTACTCTTGTTGGTGTCTTTACTCTGTTGTAACTGATAACTGTCTAACAGCTTGATTTGAATGTCACAGAATGAGGAGAGGAGGAGGATGGGATCTTTTCAGACGTTGCCCTTTTCTGGATTCCACACCCACCTCCTCTTCACCAGTCAGCGACATGGTCTAAAACAGCCCGGCTTTTCACCTGTCACGCCGCATCGCAGCCGCGGACAGAGTGAAAATGGCATCCTAGAATTTGTGGCGACAGTGGAGACTAATGGTCGACAACATAGACAGAGAGAGAGAGAGAGGACACCCACAGATCACAAAACAATTCAGCCAATGCAAAGATTTTTGTCAACTAAATGTATTTAAATTTTAAACGATTTATACTTGATTCAATTCACAAAATTCAAGCAAAAGAACAGCTTGAGGAACCCTGAAGCCTTGCACACCACACAAATCTATGGTGTTACAATATCTGCCCTGGAAACAGAATAAATATTATTGAACATGATTCATTTTTTTACATTCAATTATGTGTAATCGGTATATACACAAAAGGAATATTATACCAACTCCTAAACCATTAGATATTGAGATAGAAGTTATATCTCAGTTGTAAATTCATAAAACCTTACAGGTGGGCCCACTATGTCTAACTAATGATACATTAAAAGACATGAAAAATTAGTCTTGAACAAGCAAATCAATCACAAGTTAAATGTGTTAACTAAAATAATAATTGAATGAAAATCAACAAATTACATTTTATTATATTGTGGTCAATCAGACTTGTGAATGAATGTCTCCTAACAAATCATGACACGTTTGTGCAGTGAATAGCTTGTGTGATCCAGTGCAGTTTAAACGACTTTGAAAGCAACAGCTGCATATTGTGCTGAGTTTCCCTTTCACAACAAAGGTTATAGACTCGGTTGGCACAATTCTCCCTCTCATATAATATATTCTATACATATTTTTACCCTAAATTTCTCTTTGGCAATTTCTCCAGCAAAACGAACACACACACACTCACTCACTCACTCACACACAAAATGTTAAGCTCAAATATTAGCTGTAAAATATAAATAACTTAAATTTCAGAATATTAATTTACATCAACAATAATGGCTCCCAAATTGAATTCAAATCACTTTGAGTAATGAATGAGTCAAAAGTCCAAGATTTTAGTATATAGAATCCTACATTAAAATACAAGGATATAGGCATGCAGTAAGTGCTCGCGGTTGTCTGAGTTGATATTGCCTGTTGCATTCATCTGGATCGTGTCGGATTCACGCGGCCGCACGGCTCTATAGCTGTTCTTCGTAGAAAAGTAAATAAGCTTGAGAGTTCAGCACTCTGGACTCCGGTACAGTCTGTACGCTGGTGTCGCTAACGTACACCCACTGGCCTTGTGGGGCTGAACTGGCCTCTCTGGAACCTAAAAAAAACATACAGAGATGTTGGTCTCAATGATTCAGAGGAACACAAAGTGGCTGAACAACAAAAACACATCCAGACTAATGATCAGTGTTAGCATTAAACAGTAAAACACAACCAAGTGAAGATAAAACAGGCTGTGAATTAAATAAAAAAAATGAATTGCAGTTTTTAATCGCACCTAATACTAAAACTTGTAAACATTGAAATGGAAATGTGCATTTAAAATAAACTGAATATTTTATTAAATGTTATTTAATATTATATTTGAAATCAATCATTTAGACTTTTAGTGCACATCATCAGATTACGATATTTGTTCATCAGTTTGTTTGTTTTTTACAATAAATCTCTATAACCTTTCATTTGAAAAGACCTAAACAATCATCACCTCAACCCATTCTAATAAAAATGTCACATTTCGATCCTCTTGATACTTCAGGAGTTATATACACATCCCTACTGATTTGACCCTCTTTTTTCAATTTTGTCTTTTCTGGTTCTAAAAACGCAAGAAGGACGACTGAAAAAAAAAAGCATGGAATTGTATTTCCCCTGGTGCCTTTCGAAGAGTCTCCCACTCTTACCTTATACCTTCATTACAACAATTCAGCTTGAATTTGTGCACTACAACAGTTAACTACCGAGCGTACACACTATTTTCTCTTAGCTCTCCGTGGGCTTTTCACTCTCTGTTCCAAATGCAGCTGAAAGGCAGGCTCTTTCCTTGAATAGAGAGTACAGAAGAACGAATCTATATATCGACAACAATAAACAAATTCCGATTAGCCTTTGCTGACCAAGCTGCATCTTCAAGGTTGTGGTGAATGGAGGGCCAATGCCAGGATAAAATAAACCCTTTGTTTACCCAGAGGTTATTCAGGCCTTTCAGAACCAGCTGCGAAGAAAACATTGACCCACACATGGAAACTACATATTGCCTGGGAGGCATTATACCTGACTGGTTCCTGCGCTGCTCAGGTTTACGTTGAGGAGTGCGGACCTTCACATAGGCTGCGTAGTGCCCACCTCGCATCGATCCGCTGTGCTCCACAATGCCATACAAGCTGTAAAGCACACGCTCTCCTGACCCGAGGTTCTGCCACACGCATAAATACTAAATTAATATGGCACACTTAAACGTTAACGTTAAAGCTGCACAGATTTATAAATCACTGATTTTATGTACAACTCCGATCAGTACCTTACAATTGGCAGCGCAGAAAGGAGCCAGGTCCAGCATAAGAGGAAAATCCACATGTCTATTAACTTTCCTCAGATTCATCCCAGCCTATGAAAGTGAAGACAGCTCAATCAGTGCATCGGCACACAAAGAATCACATAACCTTGCTCAGAAAAAGATGATTATGGATTTTCTTTTCTTTTTTTCTCGAAAGCTTTGTTGATAGACTCTGAAGATGAAAATGAACATATCATCAAATTAAACTTGACATTGTTTGTCTAATAGTGCTGATATTGTTGCAGTCGTGTTTAGGTTAAAAACTGGCTCAAACGACATAAAAACACAAATGACGAGTACAAGTTCTATGAGTGAAATACCTGGTGAAAGCGTTTGAGGTGAAGAGTGACCACCGGTGGAAGTGCAGAGATGAGCATCTGTTTACGGGCACTGGTGTACACTTTCTCAGCCTTCTTATCTGAAAGATATATATATAAGACAAGTGACAGGCAACAAATGATGTTAAGGAGAACTGAACACTCAAGCTTTTTGACAAATTTACCAGCCATAAATATATCTTACCACACATAAAGTGTTAATTCTGAATCTTGACTACACCACAGAAAGCATAAGAAGGGAACAAGGCATTTTTTTAAATGAATGAATAGGCAGAAATTGATAACAGAAACTGCAGTGCTCAACACAATGGCAAGCACATAGTTGGCCCAAAAAAAACACAATACTTGGAATGTTTAATATTTGACATTATTTCAGTTAAACAGTTATATATTATTCATTACATTCCATAAGTATTTTTTTTGTTAATAATAATAATTTGTTACATTTATATAGCACTTGTCTGGGAACTCAAAGCGCTTTACATGGAAGGGGGAATCTCCTCAACCACCACCAAAGTGCATCATCCACCTGGATGATGCGACGGCAGCCATAATGCGCCAGAACGCCACCACACACCGCAATTACTGGTGGAGAGGAGACAATGATGAAAGAAGAGGAAATATAGTAAATATGCCCCCAGTATATGGGGATGATTAGGAGGCCATGATGGACAGAGGCCAAAGGGCAAATTTGGCCAGGATGGAGGGTTAAACCCCTACTCTTTTCAAGGACATCCTGGGATTTTTAATGACCACAGAGAGTCAGGACCTCGGTTTAACTTCTCATCCGAAGAATGGAAAGTTGCATAAAAAAATTCATACCAAGGCTGCATTTATTTCATAAAAAATACAGTAAGATAGTAATATTGTGAAATATTATTACAATTTAAAATAACATTTCTATTCAACTATTTTTCTTTTTTTTATTTATTCTAATATGCTGATTTGGTCCTCTAGAAACATTTCTAATTATTATCAATGTTGAAAACAGTTACTATTGCTATGAGAATAGTACTGTGAGAATACACACCACTCCTCTTCATCTGCCTCTGCCTCCATTCAGTGCAGTTTTCACAAAGCAGTTTGTTGTTGCCCATGAGCAGCTCAACAGAGGTGAACTGGTGCAGACAGGACTGTACCGAGCACTCTTTAGAGCTGGGGGTGTAGCTGTGACAGAGGGCTTGGAAGGCCCCTTGGTGGTGTTGACGGTCTCTCTCCCGAATTTCAGTTGGTTCCTCTGGGCTGTTGCTGACAGGTAAAGTGTCGGTGGAAGTGTGCACTAGGCCCAGCTTGGACACAGCGCTGACAAGCTGCTCTACAGCGCCGCCCTGCTGAGGTCTAATTGGGGCTAAGGGAGTGTGGCTTGGGCTCAGGTTAGGTTTTAGACTTGGATTGTGTGCCGTTGTGGTTGCAGTCGTGGTGGTTAAGACTTTATCTGACGTGCTACTATGACCGGATACAGATGGGATTCGAGGAGACCATTCGCTCTCAGAGGCCTCGCTGTCTGCATCATTACTGCTGTCCTGAAGGTTGGAGTCTTTCTCACTGCAGTCTGATTGGCTGCCCATCGTATCCGCCCGGTAACTTGCCAGGCCACGACCCGCCACACAGAGCTCCTCATCTTGTCGGCTAGAAACCGAGTCTGCGCCTCTCTCATCGTGAGAAGTGGAGGAATGGCGACCCTGTAGCTTCTGATCACATATACACAAAATATAAAGTCACATTAAAAACAAGGATGCTAGGAAGCAAGTAAATTACCATTCAAAAGTTTAGGGTCAGTAAGATTTTATTTAAAAAACATGAATATGTTTATAGAACAAGGATGCATTAGACTGATCAAAGGTGACAGTAAAGATTTCTATTTTAAATAAATGCTGGTCTTTTGCTATTCATAAAAGAACCCTGCATGTATCACAGTTTTCACAAAAATATTCAACAGCACAATAATTGATAATAATACGAGATGTTTCTTGAGCACCAAATCAGTATATTAGAATGTTTCTGAAGGATTATGTGACTCTAAAGACTACGTTTTACCATCACAGGAATATGTTAAATTTAAAATACATTCAAATGGGAAACAATTATTCTAAATTACAATATTGCATTCATCAATCCTTGGTGAGCATAAGCAAAAAACAAAATCTTACAAACTACAAACATCTGAATGATAGTGAAATGATATAAAAACTACATAATGCTCCTCTTATAATAATGGATCCACCAACCTGTCCGCTCAACCTCCTGCTGTTTCGATTGGCTTGTGAATGGGCAGCTGACGAGTCATCGTGAGAGACCAGACCGTCTTGCTCCCGCCCACTTTTCCCCAGTCTACCAGCGTTTGTGGGTTTAGAGATCTGGCCAAGAAAAAAGATAAACCCTCAAAAGAAAGCTCAGGACATTCAATGCAGGGACAGATTATTAAATGGAAGTACAATAAAGAAAAAATGTTTTACAATAATGTGGAATGACAAATTAAGGCTGCTCTCACCCTTTCCTCTATGATGGGAAGGGAAATGTCAATGAAGGCTTCCTTTACTGTGGAAATCTAGGAGTGAAGCATATAAACATGTTATATTGTGGTATTCAGAGAGACTCTAAAATGTATCCCATATGATTTGTCTTCAAGCAGTCCCTTAATCACTGTATTATTTAAATAAATAAGATCTCCTTTAAAATCATTAACGATCCGAATCATGTCCTATGCAGTGAGTCTGAGATGATGCCCTCAGGCAGAAGGTACAGGTTACCAAACTGTAGATTAAATAGGTTTAAATTTTCATTTGTACCGCTCTCTATTAAAATACTGAACGATCAACTAGGGTGTGTGGGTTAGAATTTAATTGTGACATTAATTAGGTTAATCATGTCGGGTGTGACATTAATTTTTAACATTAATATAATTTGTATTTATGTATTTCATGTTTTGTGTGTTATGTATTATGTATAATGTATACTGTGTTACATCTGTGTCCCGAAGGCCAAAGATGAATTTCTCCATTAGAAGACAATAAAGGCTAATCCTATCCTATCCTCTTAATAAATGCTATAGTATAAAATCAATATATTACAAATATTACAAAAATATATTTTATAACACACAATGTGTACTGTATTTATATTTCAAATTAATCTATAAATAATTATATAATCTTTGTACATGAAAAATGAGAAATGCTCACATGTTCACACTCTTCACACATTATGGTGCTGGTTAGCTCTCCGACGAATATCCGATCTACAAAATTCATTTTCACTCCGTCCTTTCCATAAGCTGTAGAACATGAAAACAAGCCAAAATTATACACGCACACACATACAAACAAACAACTCAAATATGTATATTAAGCGGAAAACAAATAACAGATCCTTTTTAAATGATTATTTAAATGTAAACAGTGCCATTATTTCTGGAAGCTTGTGAATGCAAGCTGTCACTAGATGGCAATATTGTTCTGAGTGATGTAAAAAGCTGGTGACAGAAGCACCCTTCACTTGTCGTTTGGTCTCCTCATCAGCGGTCTTCTCCGTGGGGTTGTTAAAGGCTTTGAGGATTCCTGCTTTAATGCGCTGTCAATGTAAACACAATGTGATGCCACTTTGTTAGATAACGAAGCTCACACAGTTGCTGTCACAAAAAGCTCCTTTTATCAAGTTCAAAATAATAGAGGAACATTAAAGACGTTTATATCTTTTAATAATGAAAAAGCTGAAATTAAGTCTAAATAAAAAAAAAATAATAAAAAAAATGTCAACAATTTATTCATGTGAGAAACATTTTCTGTATTTGTCTATCGATAAACAATCAAATAAGCCTTTTCCCCCTCAGAATTTAAAATGTTCACCCTTGATGTTTTCTTTTGTTTCTCAGGTTTTTGTTGCGGTAAATGAACTAAAGGAATCGTAAGGCCATGAACACGTGCACATGGTGAAAAGTAAATGTGTGCTTCAAATATTTTACATGGCAAATGCATTGTATATGTGGGCATAAAGACTTTTGAAGGCGAGTGTCGCTGTGCTCTTAATGAGAGGTGACGTGGTCAGTGACTGTGTTGGTGAGAGAGCTGTTAGAAGACACAGTCACAGTAAAGCACCAATCAATAGATAATTGGCCGTGGTGGCAATGTCTGTGGGGCTCGACCAGTCTCCCCCATTGTCCCGTCCCCACTCTCAGGACGGCCTATTTAGGTCAAAAGCCTGGTTAATCCCTTTCCTTCAGCCAGTCAACCCCCCTTCTGTGTCGGACCCCGCTACAACACACACTAATTAATCACACAAACACACACATACCCTAAAATAACTAGGCCACCACACACTCTTGAGAAGTTGAGCTCACTTAAGCGGCCCCTTTCTTAGCATTTTTATTCAACAGCTAATTGGTGATAATTCATTGATGTTAATTAGCATATTGTGAGCAATGATCCTATTGGCTAATCAACATAAATATTGTGGTGTCTATGTTTAGTGACTGCTTATGGGGTCTCAGCACTGTTACACCATAGCTAAGTCACGAATCAAAGCATTTTGAAGTGTGCTTCTATAAAACAACCAAACAAAATCGCAATTATCTTGATCGTAACCCCAACTATTTTTGAAATTGACAATTTTTTTTATTTATTTTTTTGCATAAAACTTAGTTTAATAAAGTTTTTAGTCACCTAAGCTCACCAAATTATTATTAAAAATACAGTAAAAACTTAAATATTATGAAATACTACAACATTTTAATTGTTTTAAAATATATCTTAAAATGTAATTTATGTCTGTGAAGGCAAAGCTGAATTTTCAGCATCATTACTCCAGTTTTTCGTGTCAGAGAAATCATTCTAATATGAAGTTTGAACATTTGAACATAATATGAACATTTTTTACTATTATCAAGTTGAAACGTTGAAAACAGCTGTGCTGTTTGATATTTTGTGGAAACCGTGATACATAATTTTTTTAAGGATTCTTTAATGAATAGACAACTCAAGTCTTTCATAACATTAAATAATTTTATACTGCAATATTTGCAAATTCATGCTTCCTTGCTGAATAAAAGTATTAATTTATTTCATTAAAATAAATCTGACCCTAAACTTTTGAATAGTTAATTTTTATATATATATATATATATTATATCTTAAAAGTTATTTGTATGTATTGAAATACAAGCTGTCTGTAAATTTACTGAAGTACATGATAACAAGGTATAGGGCTAGGCGATAAGGACAAAAAAAATAATCTCAGTAATTTTTGGCTGAATAGCAATATACAATTATATATCTTGTTTTTTCTACATTTTTCTATTTGGTCATTGGAACAACTTTATAATCTAAAAACAAATGTTTTTTAAACCAGTTAAAATCCCCAAGTTAAAAATTTAAATAACTAAAAACAAAATGTTAAAAGGTAAGAGCAACACACATTCTCTCATCTAAGATTAATAATTATGTTAGCCTACATTTGATGATTTCCACTCTCTTACATAAGTCTCATCCACTCCAAACCAGCAAAATGGAAATATTTAGATGGCCTTCTAACATTTACAGATGGAGAATACACTTGTAGTATATTCTGAAGCCCTTAAGAGGGTTAGTTCACCCAAAAATGAAAAATCAGTCATTAATTACTCACACTCATGTCGTTCAAAACACGCTAGACCTTTGCTCATCTTCAAAAACACAAAGATATTTTTGATAAAATTCAAGTCTGAGAGCTTTCTGATCCCCTATGCACAGCAACACAATTACCACTTTTCAAGGCCCAGAAGTAGGTAGTAAAGATGTCGTTAAAATATAAAAAAATTGACTACAGTAGTTCAATCTTAACTTTATGAAGCAACGAGAATCCTTTGTGTGTGCTTACAGTTTGGAACGACACAAGGGTAAGCAATTAATGACAGCATTTTCCTTTTTGGGTGAACTAACCTTTTAATATAAAGCATGTCTCATGTTTAGGACAAATTGGATTATGTACTTCCCATGTAGCAGCTCACTCTGTGTCCTCTGCAATTTTTCAGATGTGCTCGTATTATCAAACTAGTGTATAAACAGTATTGCCTTATCCTATTTCGTATATATCAATATATTGTACAAACTCGATATAAAGCCCATCACTAATAGAGGAACATTTAAACCAGATTGTTTCCTGTGTTCTCCCCCTCTGCAGCCCCAAAATGTGGAGGGAGGGAGGGAGGGAGTGAGGTGGGGACGGACCTCCATCACAAAGCCTCAACAAGCAGCTGACTGTTTCCCAGGATGCACAATGAGGCCAGTCGCGCCACTTGCAAGGTTCCTAAGTGGCACAACTGTCCACATTCACAAGTCTGAATGGGCCTGGCTGGCCCTGGGGCTCATCGCCCAATGCTGCACCCGCTTTCTTAGGGCAGTTAGGGCCACTGGTGGGGATGTGTGGGTCTTGGCCCCTGGCATGTCCGTATTAAGAGACCCACAAGCTGTATCATTCTACAAGAAGCACCCTATCAAACTACTATGCATCTGCTCACGAGAGGTCAATGTCCCAACATCAGTATGCAAAAGTAGCCCTTTGCAGTGACTGGTATTGTTTATGTATGCACTGAGGAGGACTGAGGGCATAACGCCGAGAACAAGACCCCCTATAGATTTGGTATTAACATTGATTTGAGGAACTCGAATTGACAGTTCTAGAACTTGACCACAATGCACATATATTTTAAATGCTCAATCTTTAAACAAAAGCTACCTACTCACCGCCTACTCACCTGTTTTTATATTTAGATATAAAGCCAAATACCAACTTAAAAAAAAAAAAAAAAAACTAAAATGAAATATTTTTTGATGTAATTTTTATTTTTATTATTTTATTTTAATGCATTTTTAGAGAATTAATCTGGATATGGAGCAAGGAAAGTATTTTTAATGCCAGGTCTAAGTGGTCTGACTTTTTGTGATTGAATCACATTAGACTAATTTTCATACCATGTGTAAGAAAAACTAAAAATCACACACACTCACCTTTGTCTCCTCCACTCTCATAGAGTCCAGGAGGTAGTGCAGCAATTCCTGACTGTCCTGTTGCTGGTAACCCTTAAAGCGAGGGGCCCTGCACACAGACACCACACACACACACAGAGAGAGGCACAGAATGAGAATTCCTGTCACACAAACACATTCACACAAGTGTAAATACATCCAAAGGGACAAAAGGAGCCAAAGCCACGAAAACACCAATTAGCCACACACAAAAAGCAATCAGCAGCATATAGATGTGTAAAGACGAGAGAAGAATGGACATAATCTTCTCTCAAGGCCTTTTCTCTGATGCTACATGAGGTGACTCGCTGTCTCTTGACAGGTTTCAGGACCTTAGAGGCGGCTGTTATTTTTCCCTGACAATTTTCATTCACTTTACATTTCATCATTCAACCAGCTGAGGTTGGTCACACACATTGCAGCCAGCCACACATATACTTTCATATGCTACCAGACACATACAAGTTTTCAAAGTATTAATTAACCAGTTCTCTGATTCTATTGAAATTCATTTCGAAGATCGGAATTAAACAAAAAATCTAAAAAGGAAGTCTGTGAGTATTCAATTTCAACATTTTAATGTGTCAAAAAACATACATAACAGATTATACAGAAAAGTAATTCATGTTTTAAAAAGTGTCATCTTTGCTCACTGTTGTTGATGTGTAATTTTGTTTGATTCTTCTAGGCTGGTGTGTTTATTTTACATAGGTTTACTTTTGTAATTGATATTTCAAATGGTAAATATAATAATATTCTCACTCAAATTGAACCGAGAATAGCTAAGTGCTGCTAAGCAGAGGGTCGCTGGTTTGATTCTCAATACCGTCAGGAAACAACTGAGGTGCCCTTGGCCTTGACTTGAGCAAGGCACCAAAACCCCAATTGCTCCCCGGGTGCCACAGTGAATGCCCAATGTAATTCTGCATGTAAGTGTTGATCAATGTGATACTGCCTTTACGGTAAGGGTACATGAATTATCATGAATTCATGTATAAATTAATGCATGAACTATGCATTCATTCATGCATTAATATCTCATGAATCATCAGGAACTAACACGAGTTCAACGGTTTTCATTCATGACTTCATGAATGAACAACACCTTAATTAAAACATTAACTAAGATGAGCACATCATCATGAATTATGATTTATTACGCATGATCATGATGTTTTCTTTGTTCAGAGTTGTGCCACCATTAATAGCACATTGTTCATCAGTGTTTCAAAGGACCTAGTCACCACTTTAGTTGAGGGGCCACACACATGATGAAGTCATTGATAGATAATGCTTAGTTAATGATGACTTCTGTATTTGATTTGGTCTATTTTGGTGTCTGTCCAATACAGTAGTCATCATTAATTAAGCATTAATCTATTAATGACTTCATCTTGTGTGTGGCCCCTCAACTAAAGTGGTGACTAGGTCACTGACCTAGACAAAAAACAAAGAAAACATCATGATCATGAGTAATAAATCATAATTCATGATGATGTGCTCATATTAGTTAATGATTTAATTAAGGTGTTGTTCATTTTTGAAGTCATGAATGAAAAATATTGAACTCTTGTTAGTTCCTGATAATTCATGAGAAATTAATGCATGAATAAATGCATAGTTCATGCATTAATTTATACATGAATTCATGATAATTCATGTACCCTTACCGTAAAGTGTTACCACCATTTTTAACAAAGACCAACTGAAAACAATTTTTAGAAAAACATCATTATAAATAAACCAGTATTTTCCATTAGAGTTCTTTAAATGTAATTTTCAGCAAAGATTTTCCGCCTATTTTCTTAAACCGACAACAGCAATTTAAGGCATTTATGATTTTTTTTTTTTACGGGAGCCTAAATTTCGGTCTTTCAAACGCATTTAATCCCACATGTTCAAAATTATTGAAATTACAGAACAGAACCAGACAAGACCACCCTAAATATGCCAGACTGGAGGACAGTGGCAAAGTGGGAATGTTTGTCCTACCTCCCAGCTAACCCAGAGGTAAATCGAATGGAAAAACATCTCTTTAGACTCAGCAACCCAGGCCAGATGTGGGCCAGCTGTAGAGAACATAAGGGCAGCTGGAGCCGGCCCTGCATCAACCTGTTGAGCAGTGAGGCTGGATGACTGGTCAAGATGATGGGAAGGCCATTTGGTCTGGTGATGAACCCAAGGATAAAGGGGCGAGTCAAAGTGTTGGATCAGGTTAGGACTGAGGCTGTCCAGATGCTCAATGCACTTTGTTACAGTATTACCTGCTAAGCTTGCAAGCACTGTGTGTGTATGTGTGTGTGCATGCATGTTGTGTGGGGGCAGACTGGGTGAATTGGCAGGACGGGCAGTACGGATGGTCAGGCAATCTGGAATGCCTCTACCATGGGCTGATGAGGTCTGTCGTTCTATTTGGATCTGACTGGAGTGTGTTTAAGAACGTCCAGCCACCTGCTTCTCACACAGGTCATGAGCAGGGGGTCTAGAGACAGAGCCACTTTCTCAGTTTCTCTCTGCACCACCATTCTAATATATTTATCTGATAACCTCACTTTAAAAAAAATGGTTCAAAAGTTTGGCGCATTAGAGGATTTGGACTTAGTTTTGCAGAGCTCTTTCTTCAGTTGCACCCATTGCCAGTAACACTTCCTTTCCACCATCTCTTTTTGATGGGGCTTTCAATATCTGGAAGTCACAGGGTCTAATTACAATTGATCAGATATTTATAGATAATAATTTTGCTTCATTTGACCAACTTAAAAATACATTTTCTTTGCCCAATTCACATTTATTCCGGTATTTTTAAGTTCAGAGCTTTGCCCGTAAACATTTTCCGGAGTTCCCCTCTGCCCCTCCTAGTGGTGTCTTGGAGTGTATTTTAGACCAACAAAAATGTATGAGGGGTGCCATTTCAAAGAGTTAGAGTATAATAAATGACAAGCAAACCCCATCTAGCAGATCATTAAAATCTCTCTGGGAGGAGCAGGACGTAAGTATTTTGTTAGAAGATGAAACCTGGGACACTATCTTAAGGATACATTCTTCTTCAGTTAGCTTTAGACACAGGCTTATTCAAATTCAAGGTAGTGCATTGTATTCATTGGTCTAGGGTGCAACTCGGCAAGATATTTCCTAATTTAGACCCCACCTGGCCACGCTGTGTTGTGAAGCAGCCTCTCAGTTTCAATCTTTTTGGTGCTGTCCTAAATTGTTAAGGATTTGGGGGGGAATTTTTACCTTTTTTTATTATTATTAAAAAAGTTTGCTGCATTAAATTCATCGGAAGTAACAAAAATACTTTTACATTGTTAAAAAAAAAAACAATTTCAAATGAATGTCATTCTTTTGAACTTTCTATTTATCAAGGAATAAAAAAAAATACATGTGTATATCAGATACGTTATTTTTTTTTGACTGATACCAATACAGATTATTTTTATGTTTAAGTGTCCAAAAACAAATATGCAGAAGCAATTTTAAAATGTCTCCAGATATCTGCATCTGTCAAACTAAGCTGATCATGCTGGTATAGCTCAGCATAAGCAGCAGAACTGAGTGAAAGTGTTCTGGAGGGAAGCTGACGGGTGAGATGGGCTCCAGTAGGAGAGGTGGGAGAGAGACCGAGAATGTTCTGGAAGCTCATTCCACTGGAAGAGAAGGCTGAAGGAGCCTGTAGCGGTATGCCCAATATGGCCCTGTCACAGACGGACAGCTGTAACCACTAACACAATTAACAGCGGATGAGTTAGTACCAGACGCCAGGCAGCCTCAGCACAATGCTGCAATGCACACATGCACACACAAGCATACTACATCAGACGAATATAACTCCAATCTTACAGTGAGCACAGAACATACACAACAAACAGTTCTATGAAACCGATCTGTTCTGATTATGACAATAGATGAACATAAAATTTACTTCATAAATTTAGGTTTTCTAAGAGCATTGGAACTAAAAAAACAGCAACAAACAAGAACAAAAACAACAACCAAAAAACTGTTGTTGAGAGTATGAACTAAATGACTGTTGAGAGTATGAACTAAATGAGTATGAACTAAAATGAGAAATAGCTTATGTTTTAACTTGTTTTAAATCATTTTAAGACAACTTGAGAAAGACACTTTGCCTTTAACAAAAGCCCCCAACCAGAGAACCAATACATTATTCGGTAAACAGCCAAAAAACTGACAATAATCTCAACATGAAACATGCAAAGGGTTTGAGAGCTGATTACGATACAAAATTCAAATATAGTTACAAAAAAATAAGATAAGGCCATTTTGAGCCTGGATCCTCAGTAGCACCAGCAGTGTTTCCTCTAGGATTTTTTCAAGCTGTGGGGGCAGGCCCATTTCCCCGAGGGGGGGGGGGGGGTCGTGGGTCTATTCCCTTAGGCCACGCCCCCTTGTCTCCCCAAAGTATTATAAGCGATCATGCGCATCCCGTGTGGAGAATGATGCACTTGAAGCAACACCAAGTCACAGCACGCAACGCTTCGCATTGAAAAGAACACAGTGAAGGGATGATATCTATAATCTATGCTTAGAAAGGCTGCACGATTTGGGGAAAATGTCATATTGCCATTATTGAGCCAATATTGCAATTGCGATTTGCGACGCCGATATAATAAAATGGTTTCATGAGTCCAACTTGCTTGGTTCTAAAGTAAAATGCACACACAGATTAATGTTTATTTCTCAACTCAAACTAAAAACAACAACAACAATAAATGATTGATAACACCTATAATGATCAATAAACCATCAATCAAACCAACATTACAGTTATTCCATCATTACAATTAAAAGCTATCAACTTTTAAAAAAATTATTAGGCTTAAAAAATATATATATAACAGCTTTTAAATTAAGTGAACTTCAAATAATCCCCACATAAACCCATAGCCTAATAAAAAACATAATTACCTGTGCCCTTTCTGTCTTAACAGGTACAGAAATTGAATAAAGTTATCAAACAGTCTGCGCTGCATGAATCATAAATTATATATAGAATAATCCTTATTAAAGCTACAAAAGTTCTTTAGTCAAGATCAGTGAGTAATTTTCTAATTTCCCTTTGTTCTTTTAACTTTACTGACAGAACGTTTTATTCGCTGCTGGCCCTTTAAGAGAACCCGTTGCCGAGACGCGGATCTCACACGCGCCTCATAGCACAACTCTTTTCATCCATAGACTTTTCTTATGTTATGAAGATACTAGACAAAACGACATTTTGGCATAATTGTGTGTGTTATTGTTCGTTCAAGCTCGAAAGAGAAATGTTTATTCTGGCACGCGGTCAGTGCATGCGCATTATGCGAGTCTCATCTGTTCTAATCTAGGGCACTCACAGGCAGCTTTTCACTTCTTGTCGTGCAAAATGCGAAAAGGCATTTGCACCAATAAGAGGGGGATCTTGTAACACTTGTCAAAGGATGACAAAAAAGAAGAGATGCTGCGTTAATAGCCCTAATTTGTTTATTTCATATAAAATCGCGGCATTTTGCGTTATATAATTGCATAGGTTTGAGTTCGCTATTACGACTGCGATATGTGCAGCACTAATGCTTAGTGTATTCTAAAGGGCAATAAACTCCACTCCAGCAAGATAGTCATTTTATGCAAATCATAGACCTTTATGCTTTATCTACAAAATAAAGTATAATATCGGGAACATTGATCTTGAAGAGAGTGTCGTCGTGTTACTGTCGCAACCGAACGCGACGCGCTGTGTGATTGCTGAATGGAGAATGACTGAGGCGAGATGACTTTCCGTTAACTTTAACTTGAGACTAAAATATTAATTTTACCACACATTATGCTATTGAATGACTTTAGAAGTCTTGGAATATAGTGTGAAAACTTGATTGTGCTTTACAAAGTTTTTTATGCCTTTAGTGGGGCTTAACAAAATAACATACTAATGTCTGACGTCACTGAAAAGCTGCAGGCGTGGCGGGAGGATTTTAAGTGTGGCGGCCCGCCACGGGAGAATGAATGTAGCGGAAACACTGAGCACCAGGAGCATTGTGTGCTGAGCAGGGAAGGCTGCTCACTGCTCTTTGGACCGCTGCTGGCACTGGTGCTTCTTATCTGTCCAGCTGGCAGCGTGACCTGGCCCTCGACCAACCATGCCAACAGCACTCAGCTGTGTAACACACACAAACTGACACACGCACTACTTGTCCTTCACCCACTTAATGGTTGGTGTTCATCCCACCTTCAAAAATACTGTCCTTTAAAGCACGATGTCTCAAAAGATGCCATTCTGCCACATTGTCCAACATAGCAAATGTACAAGATGGTGTTCAAGATGGCGCAGTAGTTCAAGTACACTATTAGACCAGCAGCTGTGACCCGCAGTTTGCCAGTCAACAAAACGCATTAAACAAACAGAATATTTCCTGTCAAGGACATGTTGGAACGATCAAGCACACACATAAACTGTGCAGCACAGAAGGCCTTCACTTGACCCTATACTAACTGCTGCTCTGTGCTGTAGTGCTAAAAGTGTGT